TCCCAAGGAAATGGGAAGCACAGGGAAGAAAGGAACCGATCGATTATTACTGAGTGGTCAAGGGTGTGTTAAGGATTAAAGACTCCAAACCTCGGTCACTGTCCTGTCATCAGAGCCAGGGAGGATTGTCTGGAGTTCTGGACCCTTCCCTGTGGATTGCACTGTTAATAACAATAGTTATAATAATGATAAAACATTGAGCAAATACTGTACACCCTATATTTCTAAGCGCTGGACATACATTAACTTTTAAAATCCTTAATGCTATAAAGTAGGGACTGTTAATATCCCCATTTTATAGGTGAAAATACTGAGGCATGCTAAGCAACTTGCGCAAGGAAGAGGTGGGCCAGATTTCAAATCCAGATAAGTTGGCTCTAGAGTCCAGGCCCTTCCATACTTCAGTGGGTACTGCTGCTGCTCAGGGCAGAGAGGCGGACCATCTGGAAGTGGGTGGGCTCTCAGGCACATCCCTCTCCTTTTCTGGGCTCAGGAGCTCCACCTTCTGTGGAACAAGCAGCTCTACACTCAAGTTAGTGTGCTGTGAGAACCCCGCGGGGCTCTGCTGGCAGGAACGCCAGTCCCACGCCAGTCCCACGCCAGTCCCACGCCAGTGTTGGGCCTGGACGCCTCCGCGGACCCCAAGGGGTGCTGTCGGCTTCAGGCAGGGCAGTGGGAATCAAGTCAGTGCCTGAGCGCTCAGAGGCGACAGATGGCAGGGCTGAAGCAGGCGGCAAAATGTCCACAGAGAAATGGCCTCGAGGGAAAACGGGGAAGGGAGGGGATGGCATGACAGGAGTTAGTGTTAAAAAAGAGAGGGGAGGAGATGGGGGGATTGTGTGCACCTACCTTGAGTCAGACCCCATTCTAGGTCCCGGATCTTGGGGACCTCAGTCATGTTCTAGGTCATGTTGGTGACCAAGACAAAATCCCTGCCACTTGTGGCGCTTGCAATCTAGTGGGGATCACCTGTTTGGGCTCCTCGTTATTGATTCTAAGCCTGGAAAGACGGTTTGAGGCCAGAACTGTAAGGTGCCTTCAACGCCTGGCTAAGGAGCTTAGAATTTTGCTCAGTGGCAATAGGAAGTTTCCATGGAGACTGAGCAGGAGACACTGAGAACAAATGTGTCAGCGATCTGGCTGAGCTGCACAGAACCATGGCCCTCGAATGCAGCCTGTCACCAGCCCTGCGATAGCCGGGCTGCCCCCTTCTCTGCATTTTCTTTTTAAGCCTCTATTTTATGGCAGTTTTAAAGCAAAACTGAGTGGGAAGCATGGAATTCCCACATGTCTACTCCCCCAGCCTGCACCAGTGACCCAACGCTGAGACGCCAACACCAGCCTTTTCAAATGAGCACTTCTGTTCTCTCAGGAGACTTCTGGAAGCTTCCAGACTTTGCGAAGATGGCAGGACCCAAAACACTGAGTGTGGCCGTTTCCAGATGCCTAGCGCTTGCCAGGCCAGCTGAGTCAGAACCTCCGGGCCTGCAGCCTGGGTTTGTAAATGGCGGCTCTGATGTGTACTTTGGTTGAGAATCTCCAACATCTGGCCTAGACCCGGATCAGGCAGTTTCTAAATTGATGAGTCACATTCTTGGGTGGTGTCAGCTTCTAATGCCACATGGTCCAAGCATTGCATCATTGTCCCCCTGGGCTTCCTCCAGGGCCCCCTGGGTGCGCAAGCCTTCACCGTGGCTGAGGAGCTCTGCTCCAAGGGGAAGGCAGACACTTGGGTGGGAATGCATGACCAGACTGTCCTCTCTCCCGGGCCTGAGCATTTGCTTGGCCTAGGCCTGATTTTCACCTGGAGAAATAAGGGCCAGTACCAACAATATGGAATCAGCGTTTCCGCATTGGGAGGGGCCCCACAGACTATCTGGTCTCTCTCAGCATCCTACGTACGGGGAAGTTCTGGGGCAGGCACACAGAAACTTGACCAAGAGCACACAGTTTGCCAGGGCTCAGCAACAGAAGCCAGCGCCGTTCCTCTTACAATCCAATCCCCTCTTCAGACCAAGAAGCATGTCATTGGTCGCCATCACAACAGCTGGGCAGCATGGAGACTGCGGGTACAGGCCAAGCACCCTCTATGGAGCTGACTTTCTGACCGTCTCAAAGTCATCCTGTTTTACACTAAGTTTTTGGGGGTTACGTGTGGTTTCATTCTCAGCACGGCCTCCATCTGTGGCTCTCTCTCTGCGGCATCTTCAGCACGGAGTGTGTGACGGGAACTCCGGCAGGGGTCCCAGCGAGGCGCTAGGAAGCGGGCATGATTAATCGGTCCTTGGACCTCTGGAAGCTCAGGCTGGTGGGGGAAAGGCAGGCACACATCCCCTAACAGAAAACCGAGCTGCTCCAGGTCTTGTTTCCATGGGGTGCCGATGCAGGGCTACACATCCCCAACCAGTGTCCACGTGATTAGCAGACGCTGCAGGGCTAGGCTGAGCTTGGGTCAGAGCAAAGCCCCAGTTAAAGCTGGTCAAACAGGAAGACTTTTGTGAGCGGAGGAAGCTCAAGCCAACAAAATAAAATGTATAAAGAGCATACTATGTGCTAAAGGCAGTTGACTTGGGGTGCCCTCAGGCTAGGCCGGCAGCCAGCCCCATTCAGCCCAACTGCAATTGCAAGGTCAGCACAGCAGGAGCCCTGGCGGAGTGTGGGTGCTGAGCAGTGGGGGGGCAGGGGGTCCATCCCGGTGACACCTGAGCCGAGCCCTGAAGGTTGAGGACAATTTCATTGGCAGGAGGGGGCTGTAGAGGAGTAAAGACGAGGGGGGAGTATGCTCAGCTCATCTGGGGGTACAGGCTCTGGTGACAGAGCAGAGATCACACAGAAATGGGGAGGGGGGGCGTTGAGGTGGCCCGAGACCATCGTGTGGAGGCCTTCAGTGCTGTCTCAAGGCATTTAATTTTGAACACAGAAGAATGGGAATTTCTCAAGGGTTCTGAGAGCGATGATACGGGCATATTTATTAAGGAGAATCCAGGTGAAAGTGCAAAGAGTAGACTAGAGAAAGATTCTGGAAACAGAGGTCAGGCCATTCTCTGTCGGCAACTTTGAGCACTTCCAACACGTTAGGGCTCATGTTACTGTTACGTGGATTCTGGCAGAAGACACAAGACTGGGTCAGAGATGAAGGACTGGATTGCTCGCGGCAGAGCGGGCAGCAAGAGCATCAGCACACGTGACAGTGCCCCTCGGGCCAGAGCCCCAAGGGGAGTGAGGAAGGGGACGTGGGCCCGGATGGGCGCCGTGCACGAAGCTGAGTTGCACAGGATCCACCTTTCTTAGCTGGTACAATAGTAAGCAAACTTGTCCTTTGCCCCGGGGGGACACCTCATTCCTCCAGGTCATTTGCTGCCGACACAAGCCCTGAAAAGGCCTGGGGAAGAGCGGTCAGGACCTCGACGGTGGCACACCCAGCGAGATGTACAGGAGCCAAAGCGACCCGAGGCGTGCGCCCTGTGCTGCGCCTCAGGGCAGCAGCGACGACTGGCCGGAGGTATGGGAAGGGACCTCCCTGGTGCTCCAAAGTGCCGTGGTGACCCGGGGTGTAGTAGGGAGGAAGGCAGCGCGGAAACTGTATCACTTCAAAAAACTGAAAAAAGTAATTCAACACATATTTATTGAAGGCTTGCATGAGCTAGGCGCAGGAGCCACAGCGGGGCACAGAACGACATCCCTGCCTGCCAGGGGCTGCCGTTCTAGTGCAGACAACAGGCAAACCAGCAGGGAGCATGTCACCTCGGGCCCTACAGACCCCGATGAGCACTTGGAGTGACCGCGCCATTCGGTACAGAAGCACAGCATGACACAGCTTACGCTGTGACAGGGCTGTCGGGAGACCTGGCGGAGGCAGTGGGTGCTGCTGGGGAAACCACAGAAGCAGAGACCCATTGAGGAGATGAGGCCAGATGCGCCAGCTTGTCTTGGGTGGCAGCCGTGGGGAAACTTGCCCGCCTCGGCCCGGCACACTCCAACGTGCAGGTGGAAGGTCTTGGAGCACTGGGCAGTGCTGAGTGCCACCAGCCACGTACGTGCACCTGGCATCCACCGGCCGTCATCACCCGGGCTGGGTCAGGGTCCCAGTGGAAGAAGCCAGACGGCAGCAGGTGAAGAGCAAGTGGGCTCAGCAGGCAGAAACTCACTCCAGGCGTTCGCCGTGAAGGAGAGGGCTTGAGATCTTGAGACAGCACTTGTTCTGATGCGCTAAAGGAGCTAAGCCTGTTTAAATGCCATAGGGTCTGGAAGGAAAGGGGGAACCACGCAGGAGGGGATGGCAAAGCAAGGTCCCGAGCAGGCGGGCCGGCCGGCACGGAGTGCGAACGCCTCTTCGGGAACAGGAGGGGAGGGGAGGCTGTGAACTCCAGGTGTGCACATGGACCAGCAAAGTCTTCCCAGGGACTCTGGAGGGACGGGCCCCATCTTCTCCAGGAAATAGGAAGCAAGGTGATCTGAGAGGGCGAGGTTAGGAGTTGGAGATTCATGGAGATGGTCAGAGATTAGGGGATTTCTGGCAGGAGGGACGGCTGGGAAAGCACAGGCCAGGAAGAAGAGGGCCAGCCGGGACCTTTGAAGGAGCATTTCCCACAGCTGAGGGGAAGGCTCAGAAGGCCGGTGGTGGCCAGCAGTGGGGAGGGCAGTGATGGAGATAGCGAGGCAGGGAGGTGCCTAAGGCGCTGAAGGTCAAGTGGCTGGACTGGGCCCAGGGACATCCCGGTGAGGACGGAGGGCGAGGATGCCAGGCCGCAGCAGAGGCCCAGGAACAGCTCCTGTGAAGAGCAGTGCTCTCGAGGGGGTGGAAGCCAGAGGCAGCGCCGCAGCCCAGGCTTTGGTCGCGCCGACCTCCCAGCTGGCCAAGAGTGAGAGGGCTTCACGTTTAGGAAGCGCTGCCATTTGCCTCCACCTTTTTCATCTTAAGTCAAATCCAAGTTGTATCTTTCAGCCTCCAGGAGGCAACCAGGATGATGGATCAACACACACAGGCCAAAGGATGGTGTTTCTCTCTTTTATTTAAAAACAGTGCTTCATTACCATTGGCAAAGGCAGAGGCGGAGCTCCTCCTTTGCTTAGAGTTTATAAAAGCCAGCAACATGATCAATAATTTATACACATGGATAGTAATACAAAAAAAAATAAGGAATAAAAGCTAAAGATCTAACTACTCCGACCTTCACAATTCCAGCTACTTGATAATAATAGGAGTAACCCAATGAATACTGTATGGTCTGAAAGCTACTATACAATATGATTCTTAACGAGAAGGGGTGGGGATCAGAGACTGTTGCAAGGCCCTGGGGTGCTTCTCTGGAGTTGGCAGGGAAACAGGACCCTGGGCAAGCAGCTCGGGTGTCCTAGAAAGTGATTCTGGGGGGCAAGGGGGAGAGAAGGCGAGGTGGTCAATTATACAAGCATCCCATGTGATGCCCCCATGCCCCGAAGGTACCTGTTTTTGCCATGGCAATGGGAGGGGCCGGAGAAACTGCATGTCACACGTAGGGATGGTTCAGTCCCTGCCACGGGGGTGGGGAGAGGAGGAGAGGTTCTGTGGCATTTTTAGCCTTGCAAAGACTCGGACTGAAGAGCGCCGAGATGCAGGCGGGCCGCCCCGTCGGGGACAGGGCAGCCCCGGCTCTCAGCACTCCGCAGGCCTAGCTTATGTGTGTCAGCCCCAGGTCTGCTCCAGCTTTTCACAAGCAGAGTTATAACACAAGAAAAACAATTCATATCCCTTAGGGGAAAAAGAGGATCAATTCATCACTCGATATATAATACAGCCAAAATGAGCTGCCAAAACAAGCACACGCACACACAAATACTGTGAACAGAAAAGTACAAGAAAATGACTAAGCTCGGAGTCTTGACAGGGTCGAGACATTGCTTGAAGCACTTAGTCCCCAGAAAAAAACCAAACCAAAAAGCATTTTTTAAAAATTCAAAAACTCATGGCCCCCTGGGAATCTGGTGTCAGTAACGGGGGCAGGGGGTGGGCAGAGAAAAGAGAACCAACGTTCCCTTTCTGCCTGCCAGTGTGAGCTGAGCCCTCACAACACCGGCACGCACGTGGCCGCCAGCCAGAGGGCCGCATCCCCCGCTGGCGGTCTCCTTAAAGGCAAGGTTTGAGTGTTGGCTGACGAACAGTTCTCTCGGTTACCAATCCCTGCCAACCAGCACTACCATGGCTGAAGTGATCGACCGTTTTCCTGAGTAAACTGTAACTGGCTACAGTGCCGGCAACGTGGATGAGAACTCAGCTACTACAGCCAACTGCGATACTCCAGGACTCCTCCGCCCCTCGGCTCCTCGCGGGGTTCAGGGATTTAAGAACCCGCTGTAGTCTGGTCTGCAGGCCTCATTTTCTGTAAGACAGGTGCCAGGGGCTCCACCACGCTCACTAAGCCAGAGGGCATGCGCCGGCTTAGGGCACCCAGAGCCGACTTGGAGAGGGCCCTGCTTCACGCTCTAGCTCTCGGATGGCTATTGCCTGGTTGATCGGTAAAGCGAGTACGAAGGAAGTACAGAGGGAAGGGGAAAGGGAGGGAAGAGGCTTTTGGACAGTAACATTTCAAAAACAAAAAAGCGTTTTATGCAACAGAGAATCAAGTCTCACGGGTGGGTATATACTATAAATGGTCAAACATTTTCAAGAGCATGACAAAATAAAAACACAAATTTATGTGTGATGTTCACTTTGCCCACTATTTTTTTTCCTATCTTAAAACAGTGCAAACAGGTAACTTATGCTTTTAAAACACCACTAACCCTTCCCCACCCCCCCGAAGTCCCTTTCCTCCTATTACCTGGTGGGGGGTGGGGGGTGGGAGTGGGGGAATCTGCAATTCTGCAAATGTTACTGTGCTAGAGGGTTGCAAGCAGCAGAGAAGCAACTGGACTCAGGAAAAGGGGAGGGTTCACTATCCCCTTTCCCTCCTTCCAGGCCTAGTGCCTTCCAGGCTGTCACTCGTGTGTGTCCTCGGTCTCCTGCTGGAGAAGAGGGGCGGGACCCAGCCCTTCTCCCGTAGATCCCTGGGGATGCTTCCATCCCATGTCTCCACCTCCCTCCCAGCTGGAAACTACGTGACAAGTCACAGGGTGACGGGGATTCACTGACTTATCTGCTGTTTCTCTAGGAAAGTATAACCTAACTAAGAGCAGTTCAGCCCCTGAGGAGTCACACTTTTGAGCAAAAGCTGCTATCACTGATTTCTAAGAAAGAGGTCTCCACTAGCTCCCCTTAAACTAAGAGTTGAGCCCCAGTCCCCTTCTTTTTCAAGGAAAAATAAGAGCGGCTCACTTCCAACTGTGGCTGCTGAAGGGTGATGGTGACGGTGACGGTAGGTTCTGTAAAACCTGAGAGCCTTAAGAATGAGATATCACCGTGGCTGATCCGGGTTCACTGGAGCTGAGCTATGTAACACAATGGATTCTGGGAAAGACTGAAGGGCAGCTATCTGGACTGAAAGCATATTCAGACAAAGATGTCCACTAGAAGTCTCCTTAAAGGAGCCCAGCTTCTAAGAGTAAGATGCTTAGTATAGGAAGTTCACGTCATGAACTACAGTAAAGGTATTGAAATCATGCCCGTACTGTGATCCAGCATCAGTTTTTTGGAATTCTCAACTAGCACCCTCTAACGAACTCACAAGATGCCACACTCTCTTCTGACTCTGTTGCTTAGTCCAATGGGAATTTGAGTCAGGAATCTACAAGCACTGATGCTCTGAGGAACCTGCCTCTGATGGAGACTCTAAATTCAAGGTGGATGGGAGGTCAATACCGCCAAATCTAGGTGCTTCCCGAGAGTCCCAGTTCTCAGTGCTAACACTGGACACCAAAGGCCCTCTGGGGAAAAGCGGAACTGTTTCGTCCTTCTTGGGAAAGGGAGCTGGCGGAAGCAGTGCTGCCAGCACCCTGGGAGTACGGCACCAGCCCACCGGGAACCACGAAGTTTGCCCTCGGACCCTCAGCCAGAACCAGCTGAACTGAAATGCACAAAAGGTGCCTCAAGCTGAAGCTTCTACCTCTTTTAGAGGGGTGTGGAAGCTGCCCTCTCTCCCCTTCCCATCACCCTTCCTGCCTTCTGGAGAAAAGAAGGGAAAACTCTCAAACTCACTGCCTTACTCTGCTCCCTGCTGCGGGTACAACTGCTTAGAAGGTGGCCTTGTCTCCACCCAGGAGTGTCTTGCCATTTTGTGAGAATGACCCCTCTTTGAACATGACAAGATTCCTGTCAGTTTCTTTAATCAGCAAAAGCTCTCCCTCAAAAGTAAAAAAAGAAAAAAGAAAAAAAAGAAAAAGAAAATTCCTCCCTGCCCCCTTTCTGTAGAACTGGGAAAGCCTCACTTCCCATCCGCCCCCCAAACTAAAATACTTACATACATACAACAAAAATTGTCTAAACAGCAACAAACCGAACTTTGGCTTGGGGAAGGGAACCCTTACAAAGTGGCCAGTGGACTGGGCAGTGGTGCCCCCCATTCTACGCATTCCTCCCCAGAATCAATGAGAACTGCATCGGGGCCTCCGGTGTCCTTGCTCCCTCCTCTAGCTTCAGGGCCAGCCTCTCCCCCGTTAGGGGGAGAGAGAGGATTCCGAAGGGGGAGGCCTGCGTATGGTACCTGACACGCCAGTCCCTCCCAGGTATATTACTGTGCTGATAAAGAATGCTTGATGCTGTCATACGTGTCATTTTAATTCAGGGGCATGAATCAGAAATCAGTCAAGAATGTGTGGAGGCAGGAGTGAAAAAACAAACCCAAACCAAACCTATAACAAACCAGAAGGTCCATGTCTCTGAATTACTCCCCTGATCAGCTCTCCCTTGGGTCACCCTAGTACCCGGGTGAACAGACCAGGGAGCCCAACAGACCGTGCTTTTATCTTCTAATGCCTTCACTTTGGAAATGCTGCAGGACCCTTGCCTTTATCATTAACAGCTAAGAGCCAGAAGAGAACGCCTTCTCCCCTACCTCGATAATACACGACGTTGAAGCCAGGTAGCAAGAGCAGTGGCTTGCTGCCATGGCCCCCTCAGCCCCTCCTTCCAGTCTGGGAGGAGCGTGACCTCAGGCTTCGCACTTCGTGTCCTGTAGTGTTCGCGTGTACCGAGTGGTCCCGGAGCTCAGTGGGGGTCTTTGGAGGAAACGAGAAGCTGGGCGGGATGGCCACGAGGGCTCAAGACTGGAGAGAGAAGTGACTTACAAGGGCCCGGGACGAGGAGAATTCTTATGGCTTTGGAGCTAGTACAAAGTGCCTCTGCCTGCCCCCACATGCCCGGTCACCAAGCGTCCCAGGACAGCTGACTAGGGCTCGGTGCTTTATCTTGTGCCAAGAGTCTTTATTATATGTCTTATGCTTTGTACTGACTTTCTGATGGAAGAGAAAGAGCGGGAATATCAGTGCCTAATGTCCTTTTGCTTTTCTTTACCCTCTGCGCTGGCTCTTGACAACTCGCCCTTCATCCTCTTGCCATGCGCAGGAAGAATCTGGCCACTGGCTCTTTATTTATTCTTCTGTCCCTGGGTCCTACATTCCTGAATCTTGAGGACATAGGAGCAGGGTGTTAATAAAAGGATAGATGGGCTAAGCTGTGGTTCAATTAAGAGGGAAGAAGCCCGGCAGGAATGCTAGGATGGCAAGAAAGAAAAGAATCTTTTTCATACTCCAGAGTTCATTCTGAGATTGGTTTCCTAATGAGGTGTTTATTATCCACAGTCTGAGAGCATGTTTGGAAATACTAACACTCTAATTCCAAAAACTATGCCAACTCTCTCAGGCTGTGCGTTTAAGATGATTGTAAAAAGAATGGCGAAGACAGGAGGGAAGAGGAGAGGAAAGTGTCTTTTTAATTCTCCTGCTTTGCAAGCACAAATTCCTATCATCTATCAGCTTGTGGATTCCAGCCACAGCCAATCAGAATCGCCTGCCAAAGACCAGAAACTCAGAAGACTAGGAGAAACTCAGAAGACTGCTGCGGAAAGATCTCTTCCACTTCTGCGTGTCCCCCATCCGTTCAGCACCAGACGCACTTTGGTAATTCTGTCTGCTGATTTCTGATCAGATGCATTCCTCAGCTCCTACTGTCTCTCCTCCATCATTAACTGCCTCTTCCGTGATTGACAGAATAAGCTAAGCACGGACATACAGACATGGAAATGCATTTTTTTTTTTTTTACCACAGTTAAAAAAAAAGAAAAAAAAAGAAAAAATGCACAATCTTTGGAACAAAAGAATTAAAGGCAGAAATTTAAAGGAAAAATACATATTCGAAGAACATAGTGAGGTATAAAAAAGTATTCTCTCTTTTTTTGTGTTTTTTTTTGTTTTGTTTTGTTTGTTTGTTTTTCCTCTTCATCTTGCTATAGAGTTCCTCTACTAGTAAATATTGCAATAGCCAGGCCTCATGAACTGGGGGGCTGTCCCATTTGCAGGGGTCTCACGTCACTTCAGTAGGGGGCAAATCGGCTGTAGCCACCTCGGTATAAACTCGCCTGCAGTAATTAAAGACATAAAAATAATTAAACGGTTGATAAGAGAAGCATTAAAACTGAAGACAAATGCCCTGATAAGGGGTTTGGAACAGCTTCCTCAGAAGCTTCAAAGCATCTGACCAGAGGCTGCCTGGTGCAGTGAAAAAGGGAACCCACTTCTTGCCTCTAAGATGCTCAAACTAGAGCCCAAAACATTCTTGCTCACCTGATGTTCTCAAAGAGAGGGCATGGTAATGGTTCATTTCATTGCTTACATGATTCAGTACAGAAGGAAAAGTCAATACAGTTCAAAACTAGGCCTGTATATAGTTTGATTTTTAAAACCACGGGTCTTTTTGCCTTGATTACATCATTACAATTGTGACATTCTTACCCACTGTCAACAGAGAGCATGTTACTTCTGACCACTATCTCTGTCATATCCCATGTTTGAGAGCGCTGGATTTAAACCTGAGTCAATCCTTCAACTAATAAAACCTATTTCCTCTATAATCTATAAAATACATTAGTAGGTTGTTTCCTGACATATTTGTGTTTATATGTATATATAACTGGGATTTCCATTGTTCTATCTTTATTTAATGGCTTCTCTTTTTAAGATAAAATATCCCTAGCAACACAGCTCTCTTTGGGTTATTCTTTTTAGTACAGGACTTACAACATGTTGGCCCTAAATAACACCTTAGGGACTTCATTGCTTTCTTAATATTGTTATGTTTCTACTACATCTAAACATACACCCCTCCACGACTTCCACCCAGGACCCTGTTGCTTCCTCCCACAAATCTTTGTCAGTAGAAATTTAGTGTGAGCCAATGATGGGTTCTCTCGTATTTCTTCAAGTCTTACATCTGACCCATCATTCCGTCTCCCTCTCAAACACCTCTGCCCACGTTCCTAGGCAGCTGCCCAGTTGCATTTTGGATTGCAGAGAATTTCTGGCAGTAGAAGGTATCACTGCAGGAAGGCCTGTCTTTGCCAGAGCCAGCGAGTCCCAATCACTGATCTAGAGGGGTCCAGGTCAACAAAAAGATACTGAGGTGAAGATCTGAGTTCAGTTTGCGGGGGCGGGAGTGGTGATTCTAGAAGAGCTCTGTATGTCTATGGAAATGCCATGTTTTGCTATAGACGTTACTAATAAAATATTTCTGTAAGCTGTTCACTTGGTGATTTCTAGGACTATCTACCAAAAGACTTTAGAAAAGCAGGGCCTTTGCACCTGCATTTGAAAGTCATACACAGTAAGTTTTTTGAAAAGCTTCCTGTGAAAACTGGAGAGTCTTATGTCTTTGCGAACATCTGTCAATAAAACTATGTCACAGGTATGCATCCAACATTTGAACCAATATAAAACATCAACCTGTTCCCTTCTTTCTCTCCGAAGCAATGCTGTTACCTGGGGCAGGCTGCCACTATTCGTTCCTTTCTGCTGTCCTTACCCGGCCATGTTGCTTATACTATACAACCCAGGGAAAGAAGTTGATATGAAACTTCCAGACATTCTTATCGTTTTAATACTTTGACAATGGAAGAAAGGCTAAATTTACTACCTCCCTAGGTCTTTTTTAGCCTGTAGGTAAAAGTTACAAGGAGTAAAATGTTTTTAAAAAAGTTGTACATGTACTTACCACAGCGCCAACTCCATAGCTAGCGGCAGGGGCCAGGGCATGGTAGGGGTCGGCTGTGTACACCCTGCCATAACTGGAAAGGAGAAACACAATCAGGGAGAAAAGGGGAGACTGAGACCACCCCCACCCCCAGATGAAAGGGTTTACTCTACTAAGGACTTGTGAGTGACCAGGTCATGGAGTGTTATTAGGGAACTGGCAAAATGGAAAAAAAACCTTTTGATTTCTACTCCTAAATGTAGTACTCTAAAATTCTGAAGTCCTTCTCTCAAGTGGAAAAGAAGGGAGTTGGAGATGACAAAGCAGGAGATGGGTGTCAAAGGAGTCAGGGCCACATGCTTTTGGCATGACAGAGGCCACAAGGAGAGGACCAGGTCTGAGGGTGGTCCCAGGTCCTAGATGCCCATTGTGTGAGTGGGGAAGGGCGAGAGGCGGCGACACTCAGGGCTGTGTACGTACCCGTCGCTGTAAGCGGCTGCAGCGGCCGCAGCAGCTGTGGCTGCGGTTGCAGTAGCAGGCTGTGCATATCTGTAGGCTGCGTATCCGCCCTACAGGAGAGAAGAGAACTGGCTTTACCGCTACCTCTCCCCTGGGCAGCACAGATGGACACACACCCACCCACACGCAGACAGACAGACACAGGGGGACACAAACACAGACACACACATGGGAAGAGGATGTTTCAAACTGCATCAGTCCACATGTTATTCCTCTAGTGCAAGAGAGTGAGCTCACCCAGTGCAGGGCTTTGCTTTCCAATTTGTGACGGTAACAAAAATAAACCATCTTGGTGGTACTTGTTCTCAAATTTAGGAAATGAAGACATGAGTTTCGATCTGTCTTACTTCAGTCTCTGCTGGAACTTTCAACAGGGAAAATATTTACAGGAAGTTGGGAGAACTTTATCTGACTCACAGGAAGTATAAACTACAGAATGAAAACATATTAAGTTTATAAGTATTAATTTCAGATTCCCTGATGCATATTCAGATTGATTTATTGCTAAGAGGCTACAGTGTATAACAAAGGCCCAATATAGAGCTATGCTCTATCAACCCAGCATGTTTGTCAAGAGGCTAGATGGGCGCTATTGAGAAGAAAAAACCAGGGTAGATCAGGCGTTGGCAAACTTCAGCCTGTGAGCCACTGTAACTTGCTACTTGTTTCAGAGACCGTATGGCCTTCAAAACTGAAAATACCACTCAGCCCTTTACAGAAAAAGTTTGTTTATTTCAATCTGTATTTCAAACTTAGGCAAATCAGACTACAAAATGGCTGATGCCCCTTTGGCTGGATTCAAATAGGTTAAGAACCCTCCACTGCATTTACTCTCCTTCCCGAAGATTCTGTATTTTCACATCCTGTTTGAATAGGGAGCTTTCCTTCCAACAGTTCACATATCCTCTCAGGCCTTAGGATCTTTCTCCCCAGTTCCAATGAACTGAATACTGTGAAGGTTTTCACTGTTGGTGAACCGTGTCTTCTCCAGAAAGCTGTGCAAAGAAAGGTAACCAACAAATGCCACGAGACAGGCTACTGCGAAGTGGCAAGCCCTAATTTGTTTCTTCTTTACCCTTCTAGAATTCACCTATTTTATCTAAATGTAATTCAGATGTGAATTTTTATTACTGCCTTTCCCTATCAAATACAACCACGCTCAGCTGGCCCATTCTGGCCCCACTTCACGCGGTTTCTGCGGGGCAGTGCGCCCATTTCTCGTGGACAGCTGCAGCTTTCTGCCCTGTGCTTTCCACTCTCTACCCCTTCAAATGTCCAAGCTGTGCTAAATTTATGCAAGGAACTTCACCTTTCCTTCTGTATAATGTCTTAGGACCAATAACAAGTGTTTTCTAACGGGACTCTTGCTCTCCTTAGCCATCTGCCGTGACAGTTTGTAGCTTGCGGCTTTTATTTCTGTTCAAATCTTATTTTGGAAATATCTGTAATCTCTTACCAGCCTCTGAAGCTTTTTGCTTCCTTCTTAGATAATTTATGCTTTCTTTAACTGAAGAAACTTCATTGTGGGGTAATATTTACTCTCGCTTTTTAAATTTATCTGCTTGAAGTCATCAATAGTAGCTTCAGATGTGCATTTAAAAAATCCCTGATTAGCTTTCAGTGGTTATGTATTATTCCTTCATTGTTCTTCAAGGGAAAGACTTTCTAAGTAAACATTTATTTCTCAATTACAAGTTCTTTTACAGATATTCATATAAATAAGACGACTGTCATTCATATTACTCAACACTGGCGATGCCGTGGAAATGAACAGGGCCGGGGAGGACGCACCCTCAGAGGCTGCGTTCCACCACCAGGCTCCCTTGTGGTTCTAGTCCGTGCTGGGGGGACGGGCAGGCCAGGCTGTCTTGGGCAAAGCTGTACGTCCTGGCCGCAACATACACACATACACATATTATGTCACTTAAAAATAACTGAAGGTTCTCTTTATTTCTTTTTTAAATGTCAAAAGAAGAAATAAAGCAATAAAAGCACTGTTAAAGCAACAAGCAAAGAGTTACAGTTGAAATTTTAAGCTTTAAATGAACCTTAAGGGTTCCATTTTTCATTATAACTAGAGTTGATCCCGCTAGTTTTGAGGTCAAGTCTGCCACTATGAAGTCTGCAGCAGGGCTATCTTTGGCAGAGTGTCTTTGTAAACCAGGGCAGTGTGGTAAACAAGCCTTGCGTGGTTTGTCTCTGATATTCCCTCAAATGCGAAAGTAATCTTTAAAAAATGTAAAAAGCCAAGGTAATAAGAGCAATTAAAACTCAATTTCTGTTTACTTGAGGGAAACATTTAAAAACTGAAGTTCTATGCGATGGGGCTCACAAGTACTGTGAGCAAGCCTCGCTTAGATGGAGACACTGGAGAGTACACTGCATCAGTACAGCTTTGAGTTGCAATTGCACTATTTCTGGAAAAAAGAGCTTCTGAATGAGGCTCCCCATAGAACCACTGCCCCTTAAGACTGTGGGAAAGAAGCTCCCTTCCCAGCTAGAAGGAAGTCGACAGAATCTATCTACACAGTCTCCTCTTGTAAGTAGACTCTGAATTCGGGGGTTTGAATTTGATGGCATTCTCTGCTATTCAAATTCAGGAAAACATGGCAGTGTATAAATATTTGACCTCTCATGAATAATAACTACATTAATGCTTTTTTAAAAAAAACAGATAATACTTCAACATGACTACTTTCCTACTTACTTTGTGAGAATGGTGTTACTGAGAGGCCTTTCAAAGGGGGGTCTGTGTTTGGGATGGGCAGGTAATATCCTAATAAATGAGTCTGGTAACTCAATGATGACTTACCCAAAATTAGAAAAATTAAATTGCATATCATGGATTTACTCCTCTTAGAAGTAGTCTTACTCCAGCCCTGGCTGGTGTGGCTCAGTGGATTGAGTGCCAGCTTGCGAATCAAAGCGTTGCCGGTTCAATTCCCAGTCACGGCACATGCCTGGGTTGCAGGCCAAGTCCCCAGTAGGGGGCGCTCAAGAGGCAACCACACATTGATGTTTCTTTCCCTCTCTTTCTCCCTTCCTTCCCCTCTCTTAAAAAAAAAAAAAAAAAAAAAAAAAAAAAAAAGGCAGCTTTACTCCAAAGTATTTTTGCTCCTGCTTTAAATTGGTTATTCAACAAACTACATCACATAATATAAAATATCAAAGAAAATTCAAATGTATTGATTTCTATTCCAAATTAGGAATGAATAAAAGATTACAGGCTGAGAAACTTTTCTCAATTTCGCTTCTACTAGCAAATCTGGAGTCTTTTTGTAGAACATGAGAACAAAGTGCAGTTTGAAACACCACGGTTTTCATTACTGTTTCTTAAGTTTTTCAAAAAGAACAAGGGTGGGGAAGGGGGTAGGAGAGACAGGGTTCAGGCGTGGGGAGGGGATATGGCGCCACATTTATTAATCACATTAAGAACTAAGCATGCCAACATCTGGAGCTAAAACAACCAGCAAAATCACCACGTTCAGACTCGTATTGGCTAACTCTATCTATCCCAGCATTCTCTTGGGACAGCGGTTTGCCCTAGGCTCTACCACAAGCTCGGTGAAGTACACAGCCTCAATTACTAGAGCGTGCAGCCACAACGACCTGGTATTACGGAAACAGTCAGTCACCACTGGAGTTAACATTCCATACCCTAACGACTGGCCCCTCCCCAGCCCAAAGAAATAGGAAATCTTGCCCACCCTAGCCCTGGCCCACACCACAATGTTAATAATTATAACAAGCAGTAACCCATCTGTTATATCAGAGAAGGGAACAGAGACTCCACTGAGAGATTTAGAGTGAGATGTTAACATTTCTTCAGCTGACTGCACAAACAAACAAACAAAAAAAAAAGAGGAGAAATAATTCATTGGGAGATATGAAGTCATGAAATAGCTGATGTGTATTGCTTTTAACCATGCACTGATGCAAAACTGAAGCAACCATTAATAAAAATTAAAAAGGACATATGTATTTACACACAATCAGACCTGTTTGATCTGAAGCAGTTTGCAGATTCTATCTGTGTGTGATTTGAAATAAAACAAAAAATGGGGATTAGCATGGCCACAGCACACCCTAATGTAGGAGGGCACACACGGACAGCTTTTTGGAACCTTGATTGCTGAATAAATTTGGCATGGCTAAGCCTGATCCAAATATACACATGCCCCTTTAAAAATAATTACTTTCTCATTCCTTTGAATTCCTTCTGAATGACTCCTTGCATTCCCAACTGGGGTGGCCCACCGCTCCATCGCTCCCCTATGCCACCTGCCCGACCCTGAGGGGACTTGGTCCTGACCGGCAGCACTTGTGGGCCGGCCATCTGTCAACACCCGGACATTCTGAGCCACAGTATCCTTCTAAAATGGTTCCTGTTTAAGCGTTGTATCTTTTCACACAGCCATAACATGTCTCTGCCTTCAAATTCCAGATTTTTCAAAGGAAATGCTGTTACCTTTAAGAGCCTTTTGTTGTTTTTAAAGTCTCAGCTTTCCATGGCTCAATGTCACCTCCTATGGATTTTCCACTGCACTCAAGCTAATTTATCATCTAATTAACTTTATAATGTTGCCACACTGACCACATGATTTTTCTGCACAGTTCTGCAGCTTTGTTTTAAACTAGAACGAAATGGGAGGGTTCTACATATCGCCCCTCCTATATCTGACTTTTATCTGCCGCTCTGTTAGCTTAATGTCACACTGGCAGATTTCCCCCTCGTCTTGATTTTAACCTAGGCTTTAATGTTATATTTTTGTTGAAGGTTTACATTAAAACAGGACTTTGGTGAGCATGTGATGTCAAGACACCTTCGTTCTACCTGGAAGACAATGACATTATGTGACACTGAGGAGAAGAGTGTGTATTTTAAGACCAGCAGACAAAATGAGAGCTTGTTCCCTCTACATGGTGCACAGACTTACAGAGCAAGAGAAGTGGGGGTGGGAGTGGGGGGACATGGCAGGTGCGGTGCTGAAAATCCCCGCAGCAGAGAGCTGTTCGGACTGGTTTGGACTGAACGCCGTGCCTCTGCGACTCTCGTTATTTGTCCCGACCCGATGCTAACCCCTCCTTTCCCTCACCTCCTCCCCACCTCAGCTGAGAAGCGTCGCTCTAGATTGCTCTCCTGTGAGGGGTTCTTGAGGAGAGTTCTTATGTGGCAACATGGCACCTTTGATTCAAAGTGAGTAAGACAGACGTGAGTACAAAAACTTAATGAAATACTGTTATGCTTTTGATTGAGAGACCTATTTATCTACTCTGAAGAGTAGTAACTATGAAAAAAATTCAATATTTAAATTTTTCTTATTATTTTTTATAATTGAGGTTAAGAGAAGAAATTGTTACAATCAACGTATCTCTCATTTGTTACTTCTAAGACAGATGAGAGATCATCTTTAACGAATTGAACCTTCTAACATTCTACTATTCCATTTCCCCAAAGTCATTCATTTCCAAAGTCTGGCTGGGTAGCTACATAAATAAACTAACTGAATTGTGAAAAGCTATCCTAGTATCTAGCTATCTATCAGCAACAAACCTTCTAATAGTTCATTATTACCCAAATGAACTCACTGATCTTGTGTCAAGGTGAAAGGAAAGTGGAAGGGAAGTACGTGTTTCAATTTTACAGTCCCAACATGTCTAGATTTTTAGGCAGCTACACCCTTAGGGAGCAGCACAGTCCAATTACTACTGCAATCCCACTGTAGGGCCCCATTTAGGATTCAGGAGTCCTCTTTGGACAGATCCTACTTTCTCCCTTTTCTCATTTCTTTCACAGTAAGACAAAGTCCCCACCTGCTAAGATTGCCAAATATAAAAGACTGGTGTAAACACCATTGTTGAATGTGACTGACAGACTAAAAGAGGTGGCAGTGATGGGACAGTACATTAACATGCCCAGTGCAGATATGTGGCAATGGGACAGGAGCACTTAATTTTGGGGGTAGTGCCATCATGTATGAACCTGACTGTGTGCACTGCTGAGGTAGCAGGGCTTAGATCACACGCTCACAAGTCTTGATTGTCCAAAAAGCCTCTGTTCCCATCTCTAACGTGGAGCTGGAATGGTTAGTATAATTCAATTTTTTTCACTGCAATCCACAATCTGATTGATTGGCAGGTCACACTGGCACTCCTACCTGAGGTATTTTAGCGCTAATGATTGGTTCCTGTAAGACTATTCTATAACAGAACACAGGAAGAGCAGTTCAAAAAACACAGCTGTGGAAGGAAAACAATCATACAAAAAGCCCGCTCGGGGCCCACCAGCCTTTTCTTTCCTTTGGATGCAAGCATGCTTTTCACAGGGTGAGCATTAGGAGCAGTTTGTTACCCATTTAAAAAGTGAATCAGGGTGAATCATGCCTTTTCTACTTGTCAAAAAAAAGAAAAAAGAAAAAAAAGAAAAAGAAAAAAGAAAAAAGAGGGGGTGGGTGGACACATGATCTACCTGTTACACCCCCCCAAGTCTTATGGCGGGGGAGGTGGGGAGAGTCACTTTACAAATTACAGGCACAACTGTTAGATCAGTTCTGCAGAGGAGAGTGTGCTGTGGAAGAGACAGACAGGGAGCAAATGGCTAGCAGGGGTTATGGCCTAAGAACAGAAAGGGAAAAGAAATTTTAAAAACCTCCACAATTAATAGCCTAAATTAATGTAACAAAACAAAACCAGCAACTCAAACTCCTTCCTCTCATGTCATCTGTCAAGTTCAGTGCACGCTCTGTACTAGATAAACCCTCTACTCGTTCTATTTCTAACCTGCCCTTCTGAGAAGACAAGAGCTAAACATACCTCTACAGATTTCCAGGGATGGAAAAATGGACACAGAGAAACAGAACAAACTCAAGGGAAAACAGGGTCTCTCTTGTGTGTTTTTAGGACACATCCTTTGCTCCCTCACATATGAAAGAGGGAATATAAAGTTTTAAAAGATATAGTTATGTTACGTCTCACTCAATAGTTATCTCCTCATGCATTCTTATTTTTCATTAGTGGATATAGATATTTTTTCAGCCCCAGTGACCAATGTTTTTCTCCAAGTAATCGCTTTAAGATTGGAATTTTAAAAATGATAACAATGTTACTATTAATTCATTTAATCAACAAGGGGCCATGGATCAAAAAAAATATTTTGGTAAGATCACTGAATTACTGCTGCTTAGCTTGATACAGTAATCTACTAAGTAGATAAAAATTCAAGAGTATTTTCTCAACAAGTACAGAAAAATCATCTCTCTCAATGAAATCATATACTTTGTCTAAGGAAATGAGAACTGTCAACAAATATTTGGTTGGCTGACTTAACAAGGTATAAGTCGGCAAATCCTATAAGGTAGAAGTGGGCCATACTTAAAAAAAAGATCCCCAAGTCTGGAACATATTAAAAAGAAAAAAAACAACTTTAATAACATAAAGATGAGTTTCATGAGAATATGGATACTAATGTATATGGGAAAATGTACATGCTAAGATCATATGTCAATATGTATATTTAGAAAAGTGTAATTTGGTATAAAACTAGGATGTATTTCCCTAAAGTTTCACTGTGAGCACAGAAAAGAACATACCTTGAAAATCATGTGAGGAAAGATGTGAATTTTAATTAAATACTAAGGGAGGTAATGAAATATGGATTAGTTGGGTTTTATGCTTGGCTATACAAATAACCTATATAATCCAGGGGTCACTATCTCTCTAAGAAACATATCTATGAAGCGAGAGGGTTGGGACCAAATTATGCCTGAGGTTCCCGGCAGCATGGGTTAAATTAAAGGATATTCTGAAGGTCTACTCTGCACAGGACAGGTGTGTGCAGTCGCTTACCTCATAGGATCATTTTATCCTCTCTACTTGCAGCTGCACAGAGTCTCGGAGTGCACTCAGAGAGTGCACAAACATTTTTGACTGCCAGAGAATCTTGGGCAGATTGTAAAAAGCAGTTCAATAAAAAAAGTACCCTTATTGATTTTGAGAGGTAAGGGTGGAGAAAGCATTTCTAGAAAACTGTAACCTAGGCCCAAGGAATAATTTCATGGTGACAAGTTTATCTTACAAAACTTACAAACTTTAACTCTTTGTCATTAGATGACTTTGTCGACATTTTAAACATGTGACAAATCAATCACAGAACTTGAGCTATCGCTAGATGGTTTAAGTAATGGATTACATGTTAACATGGCTGGTAGAATCAACAAATCATGTATGACAGTCCCGTTTGTAAGAAAAGTTGAGGTTGATAACTGCACCACTCATTTCCCTCTAGATGGCTCATACGGAAAGAGACACGCTGGTTGTGAACCTTCAGATAAAGGCCTGAGGCAACTGAGTGTTTGGCTTCCTTTCATGACTGCCCACTCCTCACTGGCATCAGTTCCTTCTTTCACTCACGTGCTCGTGCTCTCTCAAAGCATGTGAAATAGGAAGACACAGTTCAGAAAGCTTACTGCCATCTTCATAAATCAAAGCTCTAATGATCTAAAGAGGGATGTGAAATGAGAAGAAAAGCAGAAAAGGGAAGAATTGTTTTGAGGCTAAGCTATCCTGTCATTTATGTATGCACATGATACGACAGTAGTAAAAGACTTTAAACCTGCTGATCACCTCGCAAATATATTAATGATCCATAGAACATCTGTGGGTATAGGGAAGGGAAAAGAATATGTCCAGTAGACTGACTCTAGCAATGATCAGGAAACCCAAAGGCTTAGTTTTTGCACCCAGGGGCAAGCGCAGTGGCAGAGAAGCATGCTTGCATTCTTAAATATATAAATATATATATATATATCCACAAGGAAAAAGAAAACAAAAATTAAATAAATTATATTTATAAGAAAAACCAAACCAAACCAAAGAAACAGAAAAAAAAAGGCTGGCTTGTCAGGGGGTGGGGTCGAGAAGGCCCCAGTGTGTGTACTTACATAGAGGTCAGCACCGTAAAATCCGTCCTGGTAAACCACACTGCAGAAAATCCACACAAAAACAAAAACAAAAAAACAAAAGAACAGAAACACATTCCGGTTATTGAGGACGGCAGCATGCACATGCGCTCTACACGGGCAGGTGATGTATGAATACACGCCCTGGGCTCGGGGCCACGGCCAGTCAGTGAGGAAACGGGAAAGTGCATGCATGCTACTCAGCTCCAGCACGAGCGAGGAGGGAAAGGAATGCAAACCTGGATTGAACCACCTGGATGTCGGGCAATTAAAGTAAGAAGAAACCAGTAAGGAGCATTCCCAGAGGGCCTAATGTACCTATCAGAAATCTGCTGGATTGGAAACATCAACTTGTCGTATTTGGAGTATTTTTAAAAATAAGCTTGCCCTAGGAGGAAGTTTCTCTTTAAAGAGTGTCAAAAGGTGTATGTATATGTGTGGGTGGGGGGCTGAATGGAACTCAAAGAATTCCATTAAGGAGGGACCTAGCAAAAGTGTATTTCGAAATTATGTTTATTGTTTTATTTTTCATAGTAGTATGTAAATTTTTTCTGATATCCATACATCACCTGCTTTTTACCCTGCACATTAGACATGCGATAAGATTTGGCTGATCACACAAGCATGCAAAGTATTATTATTCAGCATTTTAAGAACCAATGCAACACCTCAGAAAAACAAGTCAATCAATTCTGACCAAAGTAAACAGAGAAATGTAATTAAAAAAAAAAAAAACACAACCAAAAATACCCACAATGCATTGCTTTCACAAGCAGAGATAATGAGCTAATAAAGGTTAAGGTGATTGGTCCAAGGTCCAAGAATTGAAAGGTGCAGTGGGGATCCCAGATAGTAACAATATAATCCAGAGTGGGAAGGAGTAACTAGAAGATTTTAAGGGTTCTTTTCTGACCATAAGAATATTCATGGAATTCTGAAAAATACAATTGTTAACTGAAGTTCTGGGTATGACCTGTTCTATTTAAAAGAATGAAACTGAAAAGGTAGCTGGTTAGAAGTATAAGGGTTTATTTTCCTGTTTAGAAAATTAATTTGCATCAAAGTACATGACTTTTGTTTTAATCCTTAGCAACACTAGACTATTAAAATCAAAATACAGATTTCAAACCTTTTGAGGTATTTTGTGCATTTGTGCATATAGTTTCCCCAAAACTTTACTTTGGAACCATGAGACATAGGACAGTGATAGAGATAAAAGATTAGACTTTCTTCTTTATATTTATATTCTTTATATACACACACACACACATAATATATATAAATATTATAAAAACATTTTTATAATATATATTTATATATATTAAGATTTGGCTATTTTAAATTAGAAGATCTGTTTGTTGTTTATTCAAGTAAACAAACTGGAAAGTTTCACCACTACCTTCTCTGTTACAGTAAACAAGCTAACAGATGAAATCATCAAATCATATTTTTAATTTGAATATAAATTGCTTCTTTCTTGAAGGTAGCAGAAAAGTTTCTGAATTCTACTTCCAATGACATTTTGCTGTGTTTACAAGACAGCAGGGTCACATTCTGTATTGCCTCAAATATGCTGTGCCCTTGAATTACATAACAGGCAAATTAAACTCAACTGTGATGTTCATTTAGTTAAGTTCTATCCATTTTCAGAGCCTGCAGTTGCAGTCAAAGAATGGTATTAAAAAGTAATCTGCCTCTCAACTGCATTTTTGTAAAAAAGAGACTTGTTCATAATGAAAAGGCTGATAAAATGCGAAGCATTGATACTAAGTGGTGATTAGTTAACCTTCAACTACTTCAGTACGGGGATATAGGCAAAGATTAAAAAGAACATTTCTGCTATAGAGAAAAGTGGTGGCATTAAAAACACAAGAAAATTTTACACTAAGTTGCATCACTTACTGGGAATATTCACCTAAAGTCTAAAAGAATTCCAATATTCCCTGTATCAAATGCCACAAGAAGGCTAGAACACAATGATTAATGATGAAATTAGTTTACTCAGCCGAGAAGCAATTTTAGGCCATTCCCCATAAAATACTGGACTTATTCCTTGCCATCTTCCATGTAAACAGGTGGTTTAGTTAATAAAAAAGAAAACATGGGCAATTAGTTGTTCAATGTAATATGCAGAAACTGATGTGATTAGACATAAAGATAAAATATCTTTGAGCAAATATATACCTGACACAGACTCGGTAGTGAATGGGTTTTCAAGTTTGGCCACTATACTGAAATGACCTGCATATAATAGGAACGAATGTAACCACTTTATAAAGTAACTCAGAGATATTACAAAATAAAGAAGTCTCATGCTTCTGGTGAGCACTGTTTCTTTGCAAATATGACTATAAATTCTCTTGGACTGAAATGGAAGCGCTTCATGAACAATTTTCCTAACGTGTAGAACTTGAAAAAGGTTTGTTTTTATGTTTGACTTGACTATTTCTTGATGAAGCTACACTGTGTGTTTACTTTTTAAAAATGAGATGCTAGAGGTTGAAGGTCAAAGGTCAAATTGAGAGGAAGAAAAAGGATAAAATTAAAAGTAATGGCAGAAGATGGAGATGATGGAATGTATGGGATTTAAACATCTATACACTGCAAACAGAGGTTTATTTCTAAAGCGGTTCCCTTCCAGTGGCTTTTGGAGCCTGCCCACTTCAACATGCATACTTGCCTTATCTAATAAAAATGCTGTAATTCTGTGTCATGGAGGGCCCCTAATGGCATGTCCATTTGGTCTATGAATGAATGCTAAATTAGCACACCTGAAAGCCAATTTTGCTGTCAGAAAAGGACCTACAAAGGAGGCTCGCTCTTCTGCCACTATGATTATTCCTCCGTAAGAATATGGAAAAACAAAAAACAAAAAAACAACAAAAAACCTGTCACAGGCAGAGAAGAGATGAAGAACACAAATGTCACATTTTTGAGGAAGAAAAGTCCTTGACACAACTAGCTTATAAAAAGTCCACTATAAAAATACACATTTTAGGCTAACACTAAGAAACAAATGAAAACAAAACCTGCCATCTTCACTCCTTCTCCCCATTCAATAATAAAGGATTTATTTGTTGCTATGGAATCATTCCACTGCATGAGACACCCTCCACACAAAAATCAAAGGGTGAAGGATGCTCAGCTACGTTACTTGTTTTACCATCATTCAGAAGCCAACTGTTGTTTAATTCTTCCTACTGCTCCCTTTCTCCCTTGATTCAATTGGACTTGGTTCATCTTTGAATTAACCTCTTTTAATCCGTTTCCTACAAAGAAAGCAAATCCATTGTGGGTAACTAGCTCTGCTGCTCACCACCCAGGCAGTGAAACCCAAAAGGGAGGGCACATGTGAGAGCCTCAGCCCCGATCCGGGGTGGTGAGAAGGGGTGAACACAGCAGACGCAGCTTGTACTATAGTCTTGAGCTCCTATTTTGGCTCTCTGCAGCAGTGTTAATCCATATTCGTGCGATGCTGAGTGAACTCCATGCCAACACATTGCTAGTAAACACAAGACAGTTCTGGCTACTGTCTTAAGCCACTACCTTGAGGGCTTAAGGTGGCCAAAATGAAGATTTATATAATAAATTTGTATTTGTTATATTCTGATGATGGTATATTTTGTTCTTGCCACCTAATCCATTAATTTGCAAATATTCAAAGAATCTTTACTATGTGGCACAGCAACGTCCCCATTATAAGAGGGCCATGGTGTTTTCTTGTCCAGCTGCTTATTTTGGAATCCAGTACTTACCCTGGATAGGCGGGAATGGCTGTTGGAGGTACCGCTCGGACTGCACCATATACCGTCCGCCCCCTGCCCCTCAGGTGGGCTCCTCTGAAAGCGGCCGCCGTGGTGGCTGCAGTCGGGTAAGGAAAGCCAGGAACTAAAGGGAGACCCAAAATATGACGGAAATGTCAACCTGCATTCAACAGTAGGTGTATAATCACAACTTGCTTTGAACCTATTACTGGAAAGATTAGAAAGTATGTATACTGTATCTTTTCTGCAAAAGACTGGAAAGAGATCCCAGAGGCAAAAGCTAATGGTACCATGCCTCACTGCTCACAAATCTTGAGGGAGTTTCTCTGCTCCTTCCCAGGTCTGACATTACAATGCAAGCTGGTAAGAAGCAGGTCAAGAAGCGCTAGGAACTCCTCTCATAGTAAGGGATGACACTCGTAATTTCTGTGGGCAGTTTAAATGAACCAATATAAACTCTTTAACTGGACAATTATTAATCTTTTTTTCTAAGAGTTATTAGGTACATATCAAAATTATTCATCACAGAAATATTCTTTTGTGGTTTTACTAGGTGCCAAACTCTAAGGCACACAGTAGTCTTTAGACATTTCATCTCAATAGTCAACTTCAGTCTTTTATCTGATATGTTTTAATCCAGAAACAAAAGGGGAGAGGGAAACTACCTCTCTCCTGTGGCCTTGTATCCTGTAAAGAGGCAGACATTGTCTAAGGGTCTGTTTTAAGTGTGCTATCCTCTGGAAGCCATGCAGAGGCATTGATTCCAAGTCCACTGAACTCTGTTTAATTATATTTTTTTTCTGGGGCAAAATGGCTCAGGTTAACAGACCAGGGAATAATCAATAACTCTGAGGGCACTTTTGATACTCAACCAGAAGGCCCAAGCTGACTTAGAGAGAATGTAATACAGTCCACGAATACTCACTTCTTCTGTTTTCTTTATTATCAAGAACATACTAAAATCTTCTTCACAGGCCCTCATTCCCCTCTGCTTTTCCAACTATCTATGCTTTGTGGCAACCTTCATATATGGTCAGAAAGATTCTAGCACATGTTAAAAGCAGGACAGAGCACAGCATTCTCTCTCCTGAAAATGCCCCCTTTTCTGTTAGGTATCGTACTTGGGGGAAAAAAGACTTCTAGCACATCACTGCTTACTCATAACAGTCAAAACCCATGCCAGGCCAACATAGGCTACTTACTGATTAAAGGAATGTAAGTGTTGATACCCCCTCTCCCTGACAGGGGCACTGCTGCATCATTGCCTAGGGACACATCTGCTTGAAAGCTGGAGGCTGACCGCATTTAAAAAAAATTAAAAAATGCAAAAAGATTACAAAGGAATAGTAAATTGCAAAATAACAGATGTTGTTACAATTAAATAGCAGATGTGGAAAAATCAACTTAAATGCTACCTGCATATAACTCAGGCCCATAAACTGCTCCAACTACTGGGCTTAATTTCCAACCTGAAAAAAAAGAGAGGACAGTGAGCATTTAAGACCGACAGGAGGAATGCAGGGAAAAGGAGCGCTGTGCAAGTTGGTTTCAGACATCTCCGGGTTTATTTTTGTCCATTCCCAGCTTTCCTTTTCAATGCCAGTTGGGGTTCATAGGAGAGGGTGACAACACTCCCAGACCCCATTACCTTTAAGCAGGACTAGCACAGCAAAGGGATAATGAGGGCTTGGGGAGAAGGGAAAAAGGGAGGAGAGGAAAAAATTGGTAGGGACGGAAGAAAATGGAAAGAGAATGAGAAAAGGAAAAAAAAAAAATAAATCTTGAGGTTTGGTAGTGTCTCTCACAGAACTGCCTAATGACCTATGATTTGTTTAGGAAAAGGAAAAATGCAGAATACAGTACATGAGGGGGGACCCCAAAAAATCCCCTGGAGTTTATTTATAAAAAATTGTGTATTTATTCTTACATGTTTAAACTTCAGTCACCTTCCAAGTACTCTCCATTTGATGCAATATGCCTATTGAGACATTTTTTCCATTGTTCAAAACAGTTTTTGAACTTACTGATTTTGATGCCTTTTAATGCTTCTGCCATTTTTTTGGTTTCACCTCTTCCACACCTGCGAAACGTTTACCTTCGAAGACTTTTTTCATGGGGGAAACAAAAAAAAAGTCGCTTGGGGCAGGATGGGGCAGTGGGGGCATGGGGGTCATGCCGGGGTTTTTTTTTGGTCAAACACAGCTGAATACTCAACGTGGTGTGGGTAGGTGCGTTCCTAAATCACCCATCATGAAACAGGCAAACGCCTTGAAAGAGTCTTCCAAAAAAATTCACTGAAGCGGAACGCATCCTCTCAAAACACCAGCTGATGCACTGATACAAATGGGTCCCTAGCACAGTCACCTAGTGGGGGAAGCCTGTACTACAAGGGGCCTGGCCTCTAGAAGATAATTCTGGGTTTTTTTGGGGTCCCTCCTCATATGTCATTCTATACCACACTGTGATACGCTTTCTTATAAGCTCATCTTAACACTGTTGACTACTCTAGTTGTTTTATAAAGATATCCTTTGACTGAATTCAAATTTGACCTGGATCTTTGAACTCCATGTTCGATTATATCATGCTGATGGTATTCTGGGTAAACCTAAATCTCCTTTCATTGAGATTTCTTTGTAAACAAGAAGAAACATGCAATAATAAAATTCAGGCTACATTCCCAACTTCAATGCATGTCTTCTGAGATTTTAATTTGTAACGAACACATTTGAGTTAATCAGACCTTTTAGCTAAAGGATACTAGACTGCTATTGAACATTAGCTTAAACATTTATAAATTTTAATTATTTTGAAACATTAGGTTTGGTGTCAATAGTATTTCATCATTCCCTTTTTATACTTATAGGAATATGGCAAGCGTTAAAAAATGTACTACTGACTACTGTTAAAGATTAGAATTACAAATAAAAACTTTAATCAATACATATTTATTTAATTTTATATATAAACAAACATGCTCATTATGTTTCTGAAAGACTGGCTCTTTGGTTTACTTCTTTTATATCAGCTTAAGGGCTAAACATTGTGTCACTACTACTCTGTAAAATTATAAATGGAAAGAAGAAAAGGTCAATCATCGGATTTTAATGGCTACATTATTCAAGAGAAAACCCATTTGTTCTGAATTAATCCAATCCCAATTAATTATTTTAGGTGCTCACAGACATGCCTCTTCATTATTCCACATAAAAATCTGCATTCAAATCCTTCTGAAGTTCTAGGGGCCCAAATGTTCTGAAAGAGCAGACAAATCACGTGATTCCAACCATCATAAAATAAATGCTGAGAATTCACCAGAAGGGCACCTAGCACACTCTTGTCTTTAGCACTGCAGATGCAGATTTCTAAAATGTGGCTCCATTAGACTTAAAGACTGACTTAGAATAATATTCAAAAATTACCCTTTTCTTTCCTACCAATGGCACTATTACTTAAGCACTTCCTTTAAATACATAGAATGGATGCATGTTATAATAATGGCATACAACAGTATGCTGTCAATGATATGTTTAATATGTTTAGTTTTGTACAATTTACAATGTATTTTCACAGCTGTTTATGTCATTTTGACCTTCACGAAACCAAGACAGATATCCCCTCTGGGACAATGAGCACTGTATCCCTCCAGGCTTCGTTTCCTGAGTAATAGTAAGTAAAGACGGTTGGATTCTGATGACGTCGAAAGAGCCTTCTGATGCTAAAATTCTGTGACTGTCAATTTATAGAAATGAAAACAATTGGACAGGTTAGGCAACTGGCTCACTGTCCCACAGTAATATGAAGAGTCAAATCTGGAAGCAGAATCTCTGTCTTCTGAATTCTAGTGGCTCTTTCTGCCACAACATTCTCCCTGGACCTAAAGGGAATCTTATGTAATTTACCTCTCCCTCTTTCTTTTTTTGTTTTTATTAAAATTGCAGATACTTCCATTTTTGTGACAGCAATGAAGAGAAAACGAGGTAAAGTGGGAGGTGGTGGTATAACATGATGTACCACTGATAAAATAAGAATGTAAATTATGCTGATTTGTACTAACAAACTTCTATTTAAGACACTACCAGCACATACTGTCACTCTCAGTTAGAGTCAAACTTTCACAAAACACTAAAAAGGGAGAGATTCCCCCTTTTATTCTAGATAAATGTTGCAGAACTCTTAAGATATACAACAGGAAATGAATTGCTGAGACCAAAGTAGAGCTGGAGGCCTCAAGACCCAATCCATTCAATTTCCTTTTTCCCACAAGATGGTCCTATGGAACACAATTTGCAAAACCATGGTTGCACAGATTAAAATTATATCCCATCTCATTTTGAGAACACGAGTCTAGATTAAATTTGACAAATGATGTAAAATTCTGTTTCTGTTAGATAGAATAGTCACAGAAAATTTTCTTCTCAATAAAAAATATTTAAAACACTCACATGCAGTCATGGAATAGGAAACAGAAGATACACACACACCCACCCACCCACCCACCCCATGGCTGTTACCCTCTAGAAAAAAGGAGAGCAAGGGGTCAACAATTATTCCACTCATACTCAGGTGAATAGGAACTAGCAGTAAAAGTAAGAATTGATGGGCATCCAATGTATTACAAAAACCTATGGCAGCTCCAAGGGGGATCTAAATTGAGTTAGTAGGTAACCTCAAGTGACTCATTCACACTGTGTATCAGATGAATTTTACTGACACCACCACACGTTAACAACTAAAAGAATAAACTTAATTCTAAGAAAAAATATTATTTTTAAAAATAAAATACCCTTCTAGGTTAAGAGAGTATTTCCATGTAAATGAAATGAATTGTCATAAGACTAAAATCAAGAGAGGTTCTCTGATGTTAATGGAAAGCTCATATATTTACACAAAAATAAATGACATCATTCTGAAGGTGACTTGTAATCTCTTACCATTTGCATACGGTGTGACCATCTTCTTATTGGTCATTACACGTGCTGTAGCATTATTCACCTAAAAATAGAAAGGGGGGCGGAGGGGGGAAGTAGACCACATTAAGGAACATGAAGTTGCTCATCCAATTACATACTCAGTTTAAAATGTAAATTTGAGCACTAATTTAAATAATTAATATAGCAATATAAAGTATTAATATATAGTACTTTAATTAAAGTGTTTATTAAATGAGGCTAACAAGAGTAAAATGTAGTTTCTTACTCTCCAAATGTAAAACTAGAGACACTTTACCACCCAGTCCTTAAAGAAAAAATAAATTGGTGAATTCTTTGGAGATCTCTTAAACAGAGAAGTCTCTGTATTAAAGAAAACATGAGGAAACAGTAAATTAGAAACAACTCTGTTTTCACATGAACTCTAAGTTCATTAATAAAAACAAAGGCTGGCCACAAGGGTCAGCAAATAAATTTACAGGGAGATGAGAAAATAAATCTGTGGATTTCACCTATTCTAATGGTCAGCATTTTGGTATGTTTGTATAAGATTTTACTGTTTGAAGTTAGTCAACAGAAATAGGAACTTAGACTTCCAGGTTGACAGTCTTCAGAAACATTGTGAATCTTCTAGACTATGTAGTCTATCCATTTATAAATAAAATTTTTAGAAGGCCTTTAAATTGGGCACTTAAAAGAACTGTTTTATGGCACGCTCCACCCTCATTAGAGAGCGGCACAATTTAAAGCATCCTCAGTGTGAGGGGGAGAAGGCAACACAGAGGGTGCTGACGGAGAAGAGGCTGAAGGAACCGAGGTCGGGGCGCTGCCGCCCGGAGGCGGAACCAGCCTCGCAGCTCTGACCAGGAGGGCGAAGCCTCCCCACAGAATCGGACTGTACACTGTGTTGTCAGGTCACAAAACTGGCCAGTCGTGAAAAAAATATTATCAAACATACAAAATATAAATGTCTTACGTTGCCTCGGGGAATTTATATTATTTTAAATTTGTATAACAGCGATACCTTTTTGTTAGAGAAAGACCGATTTTTAGGTAGAATTGGAGCTAAAAATGTTTTAGTATGTCTTTTAGGATTTGTATAGTGGTAATATGCCTATGCAAGGAAAAGAGAGCTTGAAACTCCATTTACTCTAGTTTGACTCACCAAATACTATAAACATTTCACATTTAAAAAGAAAGAATGGGATACAACAATGATGAGACTGAAAGCATGCTGTTGAAAAACACACACACACAAATAAAAGGAAAAAACAATCACTTTTGGAAGGAAGGGAGAAGTGAAGAGCGAGGCTCTCACAGACAGGAATGAAAATGGGGCAGGAGCTTACAGAAGCTGCTAGAGCGAATGCACCCAAGCACTTAAAAGAAAAACGGCCAGACCCAATCAGAGACCACCAGTCAGCAAAAAGGGACCGACAGCTGCATATAAAAGAGAGAAAGGGCGGGAAACAAATAGGGGAAAGGACAGCAGCAGAACTTGGGTGAAGAGAACAAAAAGGCAGAGAGAAGAGAAAGTGGAGGGTGTCACGGGCAGGAAAGAGCCATCAAGAGCAAAGAAAGAACAGTCATAGCTCTAAATGGAGGTATGGGAAAGAGGAAAAGTAGGAAAGGAAGCAGGGGCAGGAAATGCATTAATAAAACCAGCCAAATTGGAGTTCAGGAACTCTGAGTAAGATGTGCAAGGGGTAAAATCATCATGACGTCAGTATCAAACAGCTCAGACAGCTACAAAACAACGCACATCCAAATCCCGGCGGCATCACTCAACAGCATTGACAATAAAAGGGGGAAAGGGGAAGGAAGAGGAATAAGGAGTCAAATCACATTTTGTCGTGTTAATGTGAGATGGCAGATGGACTTTTTCTTTTTTATTTAATTGTTTTGTAATTACATTTTATAAAGCTGCTTCTCTAGTGCTTTAGTTTCACTTACCGCCAACGGGCACCATCGCCAGCATTGTGTATAGTTACCATGGAAAGAGTGAGTCAAGTGAAGGGCCCTAAATGCTAAACCATTGGAAAGGGAGGGGGGGGAAAAAAGCAAAATATGCAGACATCTTACTCAAAACGGTGGCTTTTATATTTCATACTGTTCAAAACTGGGAGATGGGAAAGGAGCCAGTTAACCTTCACTGCCTCTTTAACAAGGGCTGGTGAGCACCAGGTGGCCAACTCAGTCACAATGATAGTACACTCACCAGGCAACCATCAAACCCTGTTTGAGGGTTTTACCCATGAACTGTTGAAATTCTTGACATTAAATATATCTGATGAGTTTTGGATCCCCGCCCCCCCCAACAACCTCTATGATCTTCTATTCCTTGCTTATCACACATACATGGAGGCGAACTGGCCTCCTGAGAGAGAAAGAGAGAGAGAGAGAGAGAGAGAGAGAGAGACAGAGAGAGAGAGGGCATTGGCTGGCCCCTTGATTTATTACAGGACACAACGTTATAAATTGGACAGTGATAGACATTTTTAAGGTCTGTTTTATTTTGGCCCGATCACAGAATTTTGGAGTCTCGCAAACTGAAGCAAAGGAAAAAAATCAAGAGAGCAGAAGGATGAGCACTTTGGAAGTAAAAAGTAAATGAAAAGCACACATACACACTCACAAAGGTAAACCAAGGCTTAAAACCCCCAAGCAACAAAAAAAGGTCAGGGAAGAGGGTAGAAGTGTTACTTTTATACATTTTAGTGCAGGAAGGTGAAGGACACAGAGACACAAAAACACGAACACGTGTGCACACACACAAACAAGACAGGGGTCCAAATGTGAAATAAGTGAGGCAATACACAAAAAAAGAAACAAAAATAACCAGAAATTGAATTATTGAAGACATGCACCTCGATTTTACGGCCCTCTACCACGGTGCCGTGTAATTTCTCCCTGGCCCTGTCTGCATCAGCACTATTCTCGAAAGTTACGAACCCGAATCCCTGCATGCAGCGGGAGAAGGGGGGGAAAACATGCACATCGTTATATTGAAATACTGATCTCTTGGTAAATAGAGAAAAAAATATCATAGTATGAAACTGACATCAGCAACAACTCAGCAATATGCTCCTGAAGTCACATTTTTGGACCATGCATATTTTGTAAAGGGAAATTAAATCCAATAAAATAATAAAGAACTGTAGTGGTAGTAATAATAATAATAATAATAATAATGTAATTAACAATAATAACAATAATAAAATAAAACATAAAGCATGTGAGGCCAGACCAAAATTAAGGTATAGAGTTACTCGGGCAAATTATTCAACCAAAAATGTGAGTTGTTTTTTTTAAATGCCCTACCTTTCTCTCTCAATTCATGCTATTAATACACGTGTCCCTTTATGCAATATTTTAAAAATATTTAATTAAATCGATGATTCCCTAGGAACTTCTACATGAAACCAGATATTTAAGTATAATCACTAACTATAGAATGGAGATTTTTTTAGGAGGTCTAATCATTTTAGCCCCGTTTTGCCTCTTGCTCATACCACCATTAATTCCTTTGGAAACAGGATAATTTAAGACACAATGTTGATATAATTCTGTAGGCACTGGGTATGGTAAAGAAAAGCACTCATGTTCATCAAAGCAAATGAAACTTCTTCAGTGCCAATTTTAAATGACCAGATTGGCACAGAGGGGTGGGCAAAAGTAGGTTTATGATTCTGAGTACACAGAACAGTTTATTTGTATTATTTATTAATTATTGTATTATTTTCCATATGAACAACTCTAAGCCTACCTTTGCCCACCCCTGTATGTTCAGCTGAATTTCAGACAACTGCTTATCCAAATTTGCCTAAGTTGTACATTTGTTGACACCTACATCTGCTACTAAACGTACGGGCAATTTCCACATGTAGAGAAAAAAGGAACAGTCAAAAAGGCAATGGAAATGAGATCTACATTAGTGACATCAGTTGCATACTATTCAACAGGAAAAGAACACCATAAAACAGCAATACAGTTGCTACTTTGAGTTAGTATTAACTTTTTTTGTGTATATTGTAGATACTGCTGGAAAAAAAAAATCCCATGTGGCTATAATTCATTAAGTGGACAAAGCAGGAGACCAGGGCGTTAACCTAATTTGCTGTTCATCTTATATTTGAAAAGACTGTATGGGTTATAATCCTACTGTTAATTTCAACATCAGCAGGATTTACTATATTCTTATACAACTATTTCATGAAGTATTATATCAGTTTCAATTTCATTTCAGGTACTTTGACCTTATCTTTCCACTCTGCAACTAAAATTTTCCCAAGCTATTTACATTTGCAGAGTGGTTCAGTCTTAAGATTTTGTGGGAAAGACCTCATTTTTCAATAGCTTTACTGTCCCTCTAGCATTCTTTGAACATTTCTTTGTAGGATAAGGATAATCTGGATTCCCTTATACTTACTCAAGCTCTGCTTTACAGCTTAATTCCAGGAGTACTCCTAAGTATACAAAATATGCTCTTAACTGCGATGGTAAACAGGGTGTACTGCTCAGTAAAACTTCCTGAAAGCAACTCCATCACTGTGAAGGACTCGATACTCGGCATTCTAAATGCTCACGGCTGGGTGGCGAACCACAGAGGATTCCAATGTCCACCGCCATGAATGCCCTAGAATGTGCAAAGCTGAAATTTTAAATGTATGTTGCTTGGGATAGAACATTATGGGTAACTTTAGTTAATATTTCCCTTAAAAAATGTAAATGTGTTGAAAATTTCAATGGGAACACATTTTGAAAATTAAATTTTGGTGTTAGCATGTTATAGCCATTTTGACAACTCAAGGTATACAAGGGCAAGTTACTAATTAATTACACCATTTGTTGTTTACTCTAGATCTGCTGAAGACAGGAAACCAGTTCTTAGATTCTGGAGTTAAACCTTTTAAGAGAGGTCACAGATAGCAATAAGTTTTTATATCACATTTCAGAAGTATTATTAGCTGTAATTCAACTGATTGTCATAGCCTCATACATTCTATGCCTTGGGTTAAATTACTTATAAATTAGTACTTGTATAACAGACTATATGCAAACTAAAGCTAGATTTTTAATTAGAGCATTACGACTATGTCTACATACATACATACATACATACATACATACATGTTGTCTTTTAAATACAACCATGGGGCAGAAAGGATAAATCTGTTGGTTTCACTTAGAAGGTAAAGAAACGGAGTCAAACTGAGGTTAAGTACTCAATCACCAACAAGGCTCAAAGCATCAACAAGGCCTTCTTCCACGTGGCTTCTTCCTACAGCTAATGGTGAGGAAATTAGAAATTCAGCTTGAAATCTACGTTCAGTATTCTATTTACTAAGCTACATTAGTCCCAAAGTCCTTACAATTTTCTTTCTCAAATCTAACTGCTGACTGTGTTCTATGACCTTCCTCTGCGGAGTGTGCCGGCAGGATGCCTGTGGCACGCTAGCTGCACATCCTGCACGGAGTCACAAACACTGGCCCCGTGGAGTCAGCAATGACCAAGTTTAACATTCAAGTCTGTTTGTGTAAGATTTTTGTCAATAATGACTTTAACATTCTAGAACAAAATTTCACTTTCAAACACTTTAAAATTGTTTTTAAAAGAAACGTGTTTATATGTTAAAGGAAATGCTAATCAAGACACCCAAGATAGGAAAATAAAGCCATCTCTATAGGCATCTTCACCTAGGGGAAGAGGAGGAAGGACTTGTTGATACTTTGGGAGACTTGAGGGGAAACAGAGGTAAGAGGATTTCTTTCTTTCCTTTGAAGATAAGTAGACCTTGTGGCAGGCAGAATAATGCCCCCCACCCATGTCCTAATCCCCGGAACCTGTGAATATGTTACCTTACATGGCAAAAGGGATTTTGCAGATGTGATTAAATTAATGATCTTGAGATAGGGAGATTATCCTGGATTATCCAGGTGAGCCCAATGTAATCACAAGGGTGCCTATCTGTGAAAGAGGGAAACAGGAGAGTCAGAATCGGAGTTCAGCGGCCTGAGAAAGTCTGGCCTGGCCACTACTGACTTACTGGGCTTGGAAAGGGACTAAGGCCGAGGAACAAGGGCTGCTACTAGAGCTGCAAGAGGCGAGAGAGGCAGTTATTGCTGTCAATTACTGGAAGGAGCGCAGCCCTCCGACACTCTGATTTTAGCCCGGTAAGACCCATTTTGGACTTTTGTCCTCCAGAATGGCATTAAGCCACCAAATATGTGGTAAGTTGTTCGGAAGCAACAGGAAATTATTATGTATCTCAGAGAATTAAAGTCTGATTAGGAAAGTGAGAAGCATAACCAGCATTTTAAATGTATTGGTCTTGAAATACTTTTCTCTCATGTTGAAACTTCAAACAGGCAATTTTCCAACAACCCAACTTAATGCTTGCTTATCTATCACATTCACAATTTGGTTTCAAGAATATTAACTCAAATAAAGCCTGAAAACTCATTTTAATGTACAATGTTCTTCAATAAACTTTAACATTTTTGAAAACGTACCAGGAACTGAGTTAAGGATATTCACAGATTACCCAGGCTTAAAAAGTTACTAATAGGAAAATATGCTTACATAAAATTATGTTTTAATGTCCCTTCATTCTTGGAAATTTAATTCATATTACGCTTGGCCATTAAGATCTCTTGCTTTAAAAACAATTAATGAAATTATGTCTAATCCCAATACATTTTCCTTAGAAGAGCTTCAAAATGAGCATTCAGTGTATCAAACAAGGAAACATAATAACAGTCTGAATAGCTTCAAAGTCAAACTAAGATTTAATCTCAGGCTCTTAACAAGGGTATAAATGTATCATGTACAGAAGATAAAAAAACAGATAAAAAGCGAACTTTATTTTTAATTAAAAAAATAATGTTATCAGTATGTCTCTGTCAACACCAGAACTATCAGACAGAAATATAACACAATCCACATACGTCATTTAAAATTTTCCCCTGGCCACATTAAAAAAGTAAAACTAGGTGAAATTAATTTTAATAATGTATTTTACTTAACCCAATATATACAACATATTGTCATTTCAAACTAGCATCTGTATAAAACTATTATCAGTGAGATGTTTAACATTCTTTTTTGAATAGGTGTGTATTTTTCACCTAAAAGCACATCTCAATTTAGACTCACCGCATTTCAAGGGCTCAATATGGCCACTGTACTGGACAATGCAGGTTTACATGCTTTATACTCTCACCTAAGGTTCTCAGTCCCCAAAGTCCTTCTATGGTAACAATGCAAACACACTGGCGTGACATCAGCTATCTTAGCTGTCTTTTGGAAATCAAGGGATGGTGTGTTTTTTGGTTGTGGTTAAAGCTTCTTGTCAGTGACAAAAATTTTATCACCTGCCTTGTCACCATCAAGGGCATATAGGAGCCGAATAACTGTCACCTTTTTAGTCTGGCCTCAGGCTGCAATAAATAACAAGCAATAGGATGAGCATTGTAAAACTATTTTTTAATTTGTATAATCTTTGAATTTTTCCATCTCAGAAGAATGAGAAAGAAAATTTACCATGTAACTTTTTAGGGAGAAATCAAAAGCAGACGGTTCTCCTGGGTATGGCCAGAACACAGAAATTAAAAAATAAATAAAAGAAAAATAAAACTAAAACCCATAAAATGGTAACAAAAGAAAATAAACTAAGCCCTTTGGAAAATACATGCACTGCTAATTCAGTTTTAAGTATAATGCAAAACATTTCACCTCAGCATACCTAACAGATTTTACTGAAAATCACAAAAGTCGACTTAGTGCAATTTCGAAGACAGTCTTTTGATCACATTTTGAAAGAAATAATTTTTCTTTTCATGAAACTGAGAGCCAGGGAAGTGGGCAAGAAATTGGAGCACATTCCTTGCATCTGAGGAATGGGAATTGAGGTTGTGTCTTCTCTAACTGTAGCCTAAACTCAAGCCCAGACCGAACCCACATCCCCATCATTCCCGAAATCCACCCGACAGAGTAAGAACATAGCAACTAAAATTTACTAGAAATCTCAATAATTGTTGCTGTGCTCTATTTGTAGTCTTTTAGTCAACTTAATAATTGGCACTGTCTGAAGAAGTAAATAGCTTCTACACATTCAGTATTTATAATACATATATGTCCTTTCAAGTGACAATACCAGAAGTACGTTGAAAAAACTTTATGGAAAATATAAATGTTAGAATATGCATATTTTTTCATTCAATTAGCCTGATGATTACTGCAAATTGTTATGGGGCTGGGTGATGATGAACAGGATGGTGGAAAATCTGAATTTCAACAATGGAATAAACTTTGAGAAGGGACAACTTCTCAGGCACTGAAAGTGTCTAGCAGAGAATGCAAGGTCAAGAGTACTGAGTTGAACTCTTATTCAAAGTTCTGTTTAAGATTCTATGTGAGAAAAAAGACTGGAAGAAAATACATGAGAATATTAGTGAATATTCTCTTTAGTGAGCTATGTATGCTTTTTTCATTCCATTTCATTAAATATCATGTTTTCCTTTTATAATCATTTTTTAAAAGGGCACTTTTTAAAAGTTATTACTCAAAGAAATCTATATAAAAGAGTGACAATATAATTTACTGTCCAAATGTGCATTTTACAGGGGAAAATGGGCATCATTAATAATTGTGCTAAGACAATAGGTATAAACTGGGACTATCCTAGATAAACCAGGACATATGGCCACTCTACCTATATCTTGTTTATATTCATACTCTGTCATGACTGGTGAAATTTGGAGAATCAATAAAGCTACACATGTCCGTATAATCCTTTACTAGAATTGTGGTTTGAGTACAATTAGTTAATTTTTTAGCAGGGGTACCATTTTTCATCCTATATCCTAACTGAACATTTTCAAAAGGACAGTCTATCTTTGTTTCAGTTAATCACAGAAAATTAAATACAGCTGACTTCATGTTTATACAAAGGAGTAGGGAATAAAAAGATTCTTTAAAAATGACACAAAATAATTTAAATATATAATGAGCATGTGTATGCATGTAAATGATATATACTCATTCCATAATCCAGGTAAACCAAATCCAGAATATGAAGGTCAAAGAAGAAAAAAGGAAAATAGCAACAAAGAAACAATTACTTCCTGAAGCACAGAAACTGTACTCTGCAGGCAAGCTGTAAAGGTAGGAGACTTGCAGGCAGGGAGGGGCATGGCAGTGGAACAATGTCCACTTACGGTTTTAAGTGGGCATATTCTAAACCCCTGGGCTGACAGTCTCATTATAAAAAATAAGACATAGTAAAGTGTTGTTTTTTGTTTTGTAGCCATTTGGTTAAATACTGCATTACATGTAAGTACTACTTATCTCAGAATTAATTTGTGACTAGTTTTTCCATTACTGCTTCCAAAAAAAAATTCAATAAAGCTAATTTCTGTACAGAAAAGCACTCTTAAAAGACTGAACAACTCTTAACTAAACAATAGGACCACATATGTTTTCTTTTCTCGGGTTCTTTTCAAGATATGTTGTAATTTTATAGTCAACCCCAAACATATTAGAAACTAAAGTTAATTTACAAAAAGAAAAGTACTGGTTAATTTTATCTTAGGTGGATTCCAGAAGAAGTATCGAGGTTTGACTCCAAAATAAATCTCTGTTAACAAGCCTCAAAACAATTCCAGAGGAACCCTCTCCAGCAAAGAACTTTCAGTAATAGCAGTTACGAAGTACAAGGATGAAGACAGGTTTTGTATCAGTCCTTGAAGGCAGACTGAAGACAATCACGAATTCTGTGCTTTGTTTTAAAACATCTACCAATTAGTAATAGACCGTCTACCCTGAAGTGGCCCAAAGAAACAGGGGATTGAGGACATAGCACCTAACTGAGGGTATGCAGCGTGTGCTTTTAGGTTCCCCAAACAGAAAGGAAGGCTTGTGTCATTTAAAAACTGAAGTTACAAGGGAGAAGCAGTTGAATCCAGTAAATTTAAAAATCCTTGAAGTCAATGAAAGAACCCTCAAGAAAGATCAATTTCCTTTGCTTCAAATAATTCAATCAAATTATTTTCCTGGTAAGGAGCAAGTCCTCAATGCCTGATGAAATTATATTGGGTTTTTTGGTTGTCAGAGTCTCATTAAGGATATTTTAAGTGCATACACTCAAAAACCAAAAAACATTTAAACTGTTCCTTTAGACAAACAATGTAGTCAATAATCTTCACACATTCATTTTACATTCATGTGCTTCTCATCTCTAAACCAGTCATTTTTCTCACCTTCTATCCAAAAAAATCACAAAAATAAAAGCAAACTACATGACAAAAAAAAACAGAAATCCATTGTGAAGAAATTACAAGCATAAATAGTTTTATTGGTTACAGTCTGAACTGATTTCACTTTAAAAATACTTACCAAGTTAAGTGCTGGAGAAAGTTCTGTATAGGCATAGTAATCGTTTTTTGTTTTAACTGAAAACTGGAAGCTTAGAGTATCATTACCTCTTTAATATTAAAGAATAATTATTATGGTCAGAATTAAACACTTTTAGTGTTAATGTATTCTATAAAGGAAGGGAATAATGATCAGGAGCATTAAAATAGTACATACATTTGTAATAGTTCAGATGGGGATAGCCAGTATCTATGACTCTGTAGATACGCATTATTAATTACCAAAGATTGGTGAATTTAGAATAAGAAATTGGAGAGAAATAAACACTAAGTTAAATAAAGCAAGTAAATGAGATTTAATCATAGCCAAGGGCTATCTTCAAAGTTCAGGAGCTAACCAAATAAAAATTGGTCTTACCTAAAAAAGCAAGCAGAATTGAACATATCAAGGTAAATATTTATAAGCTTGGCCACAGCTGACTGTGTCTGTGGGATGTGTTTAATTTGTTGAGAAGGAAGAAAACTTTCAAATAAAACTTTCCAAAATTCATTTCATCAAATCTTTTCTTATAATGCCATTGTAAGACTTTACCATTCACTCATTCCTAAAACACCAGTGTTTATAAAAATTCTAAATCATACAGATTGGGAACTTAATAGTAAAATATTAAGGAAAAATACATTTTAATTAAAAATTTCAGTTCTTATACAGAACACATTCAGAAGAGAATACACATATCAAACTGTACACTGTTGCTTCTTTCATTTTTATGCAAAAAAAAAAAAAAAAGAAGACCAACCATTGTATTTGTGATTGAAGTGACTACATTCTGCAGCTTGCCTCTCTGCGATTAACTTGAGGAAGGAAGTAAGTTCATAGTGGGGTCCTGAGTCACTATATTCCCTGTATTTAAACCTTGTTCAAATTCATTCAAAAGAGAGCAGGTCAACTGAGTAACAGATATTAAATTTGTTTTAAGTATGTCATTTCAAAGTTTGACTTTTTAAAACAAGCTGAATTGTTCTGAGATGTCAGAATAGAATTCTCATAGAATTTCACTTTCTCCAGTCTTCCCTCTTTTCCTTTCATGTAAGCAGCTCAGGGCAAACCTAAGTCTGATGAAGGGCCAGTGTCTCCTGTGCCCCATCTCCCGGTCTCCCTGGCCGCAGCGCTCTCCCTTCAAGCCTCTCTTGCTTCTTCCCCAGCACTCTCCCAATTTAAGCATTAAGATAAAGTTTGGCCCTGTGGCAGCTTATTTTTAGAGACACTCTAATCCAATCTAGATAGCTGGGAATACTTCTTGAAGGCTTGAAAACCAGCTTAAATTTTCTGATTACTTACTATTTAAAATAAAACAAAATTAATAAGAAACCAAGCAGACTTAATACTGAAATGGGGCTTACCTTAGAACCACGTTCATTAAAGATTATTTCTACATCTAGGATTTTGCCAAACTGCTGCAGAGACAAAAATAAAACATTGGTTTATGGTCAGCCTTTTATCCACATACTTCACTTTCTTCTGAGAAAGAAAAAGGGGTTCCCTCTCCCATTTATAAACTACCTTTTTAATGCCATGTTTCTATTTTTTGGTAAATCCCAATACCAGTTTCTGAGTTTGCCTTATCACTGAGCTGGTAACTTCTCCCTTTCCAATCTTTTTTCAACTCACTCACTCGTGTGTTACCCGCCTGTGTACGGTAGAAGCTGTTTGCAGAACATACTCAGACAGCCACCCTATTGCATGTATCTTCACAAAGGCAAGAACTATGGATTTTCCCCACTATGTCTGTAATTTTTTAAATGTGTTAGTTTTAAGAAGGAAATCTTAGGTAGGAAGATTTAAAGGCTGTTTTGCTTCCCCCTTTTTCCTTTAAGAACGTAAATCATGTTCGTTGTAAAATTAGAAAATACAGATAAATAAAAAGGAAAGGGGAAGCAGAAAATGAGTACAACCTGCAATCCCACCCCCTCGGTTCTGGTACGCAGCCTTCCAGGCCTTTCCTTAGGCATGTATTGTTAAGAAAGTATTTCCACATATTACTCTAATTTTTTTAACTTAATATACTATGAGCAATTTTCCAAGTCAGTAAACATGTTTCTATTATTTCTATAGGTTACATGCTAGTTTCCATTATACTTAAACATTCATTGACATTATGTATGGTCCCATTTATTTGCCACTTTAATTTTCCTGTAGTGAACATCATCAAGAATATCTTAAATTGTAACTTTATTTTGTAGTTAGTTAATATTTTCACATTTGGAAAAATCAAACAAAACTAAAACCACAAAGCCTAAATAACTTCATTGTTGGGTAGCTAGTAGCTGGTAGGAGGGGTATACAGAAAACAGTACTTATTTGGAGAAGATGCGTATACAGTGACAAAACTGTCTTAATCAATACTTGGATAAACTGCACTGAAGGGATATGCAGTAAATCTCCAGATAGCTTCTTAGCTCACACATCTCCCTGAGTACTGTACTCATATACACTGTATCAAATTATCTATTTCACTTGGATTTCAAACCAGACTTTGGGAAATATGCAGAAACTAAAAAAATGAAAAGAGCAAAACAGAAATTGTGCTTTCTCTCTGGGCTGAAACATTACTGTTTTTATTAAAAACATGTAGTAAGCCCTGGCTGGTGTGGCTCAGTGGACTGAGCACCGGCCTGTGAACCAAAGGGTCGCCAGTTGATTCCCAGTCAGGGCACAGGCCTGGGTTGCAGACCATGTCCCCAGTAGGGGGCGTGTGAGAGCAACCACACATTGATGTTTCCCTCTCTACCGCCTTCTCCTCTATCTAAAAATAAATAAAAATAAAATCTTTTACAAAATAAAAATAAAAACACCCATTAAGAGCCCAAGTTTTCTAGAGTAAGGCTTCTGGGCTTGCTTCCTGTTTCATCATTTAATGGAAAATTATAAAAATCAAGGAAAGAGGAAAATGTCTTATTTTAGGGAGAAGGGCATTTTATTTTTTCCCTGTATGTATCCTATAAAATTATGATTTATATGGTGTTTTAGAGTTTGTTTTCTTTTACGTTCTCTAATGCATCCTTCTAGAGTAAGGACTGCTTTCCTTTTAAGGTTAAAAAAAATTGAGGCTGAAAGAAGCTATTCAACATTTACAGAGTTAATAAAATGGAGCACAAAATCCCTGCTCTTTACGAATGCAACTGTCCTTCTAAGTAACAGGTACTAACTATGTGGAAGAAGACAGAGCCACCAAGTACCCCTTGCAAGGAAATTTAATTTTCTTGCACTTAGTGCCTTATGGGAAGAGTATAATACATTTCAAGAAATCACTGGTAAACAGCCTAGGCAGATTTTCAATGGAAAACACACTTCTGACCTAAGAATGCTCTCCATTTTCACAGAGCTCCAGAGATTCAGATTCTGTATTATCTCTGATAACTCAGTAGAGAACCTAATAACCCATACTCCTGGGAAGCTGCTTCTTAAATGTAACTTCAATTCTTTATGCTGCCCTTTATATCTTCTGTTGCTCTCTTTTCTGTAGAGATGAGACCGGCTGGTTATCATTTTATGTGTAAAAGTTCTCTTCAAGTTCTCCAAGAACATCATTAAATCTCAAGCCTGGCCTTGCCTTCGATGTGCAACACACATCCAGGTAATCAGCTATAAGTGACAGAACTTTGCTCCAGGGTCTTGTCACCATGAAATAGCCAACCAAGACTTAAGGAAGGGGATTTGCTTTTATGCCAAAGCACCAGGCTGTGATACTAATAAAATTTTTTAAAAACCCAATTATCTCTTAGTCTGAGTTCAAGTTAGGAGCTTGCTCAAATTAAAACAGGCAGCAACACAGAGCCCAAGAAAAAATTAGGTTCTTAGCAATCGTTCACTTTCTAATAACTTAAATCTTTGCCATTACAATTTGTGTTTCATGACAGCGACTTCAGGAAGAATAAAATTGCTGGAAGAATACATCAGAGGCCTAACCCCCATACCTGATCTTAGACACCAGTGACCTATAAACAAGGAAGTAAAAACAAAACACAGGTACTATCTGCTTTCACAGATATGATTTCATTTAATTTATAACACTCTAAAAGGTGGGGATTACTATCTTGTCCTAATTTTAGCACTGAAAGTCTCATGTCCCAAGCAAATGGTCACCTTTGTATGTGAGAATTTGCAAGGCTGATGGCTAGTGGGCAGGTGATAGGAAAAGTTCCTAATGAAAATATTGATTTATCCCAGGATTTTTCTCAATCTACTTGTAGTTTTATTCTAAAGTACTAATAATGACTAATAATACTCCTGGTAGATTAAATTATACTTTATTGTAAACTCATAAAAAGGACTTCAGAGACTTACCCCAAACATCTGCCGGAGGTCAGGGTCCCGGAAGCGAAAAGGAATATTAGAGACATGGAGCCGTTTAGGGGTAGATTTACTCTCTGAATTTTCACTACTTTGCGTCTGTGACTGCTGGCCGTCTGTCTGTGCTCCTCCTTCTGTCTGCTAAGCAAAGAAATAAACAGTAAACAAAAAAATAAATACAATTCACAAGAATTAATGGCAAATGAAGTCCTACCCGATCCTAATCATTCTCAAATAGTGTCTTTAAGCAAAAAAACACAGTTGTCCCTTCTCTGAGGGGGAAAAAAGATGCTATCTGTGTTAAAAATGCCACAGTTTCCCAACAAGACTTAGGTCTTTTGACTATCCACAGTACATTAGTAAAATGGGAGAAACAGAAATACTAAATGACTTGCCCAAGATCGCATGGAGATACACTAGAATAACTGAAGATTAGTAGAGCTTTCTATTTTTGAGATGTTCCTGTTTTGAAAATGAGGTCTGTTGTGTTAGTTGTGAAGATCAATGCATTTTTGGTCTACCATTTCAGGAAATAAGGGAATGTTTTTATATTTTATTCCCTCTATTAGTTCCAGAGTTTATGACGACTGGGTTACTAAAGTATAATAATATTATTTATGAAGAAGAGGCACCTGGTGACAGTGGCCACTTTACTTACAAACCGAGGAAGCTTCCTGCTCTGAAAGCAGCTTGCACTCGCCTCCCCAGCTCACGCAGCTCCAGCCAACTGTGGCAGAAGCTGACCTTCCGCAGCCCAGGACAAAGCTTTGCTGAGAAAACCTGCAAAGGCTTTAAGGGAGCCCGACTAACCTACTACTCACATAACCGACAGATTGGCGTGTATCTACAGTGGAAGTGTGTGAGTGTGAGCGTGCATTTTTATCATGCCTCTCTTTTGTGTCATCCCAGGCCTATGTTCATCCAATACTTTTCTCAATAAATCCTCAAAGAAGTTGCCATGTCGAGAAAAATTTTTGACAAGTATCTTACAGGTATGGTATACTCTAAGCATTCAAAAAAACACTCATTTTGAAGTATTCATCTGGCAATTTCAGAACCTTATGTTTGTATTATTTACTATGATGTGCATCCCAAACCCAATGGCTTGCTGAGCTAATTAAAACCAACATACTTTTAAAACAGGAGTGAAACCTGCTGTTCTAATTATCTCAGTAGCATTAGAACAGAGTCCCTAACAGATTCTTCTGGGTGACATAGTACAAATCCTCTCCCGTTGACCCAACGTTCAACTAAAAGAAACTGTGAATCAGAGATACTTTTGGTTTAGAAGATGTTAACAATCATCATGAAGTTTGAGACTTTAAAATATAAAGGATAATCAAGAATAAACTCCAAATGAATACCAGCTTTTCACATGTCAATCTGAGTGATGGCAGCTTTTATCTCATCCCATTCAGGGCCTGCAGATGGCTTGCATGTGTGATGATTTATAGGACACAAAAATAGCAGACAAGGGAAGAGCCATGAAGCCATGTTCTGTGAAAGTGGAAGGTTTTCTATGATCCATCTAGGCACAATGCAGACTAAACAAAACAAATTCCACCCAAAGAAGAAACTCACTAAGTTACTAAAACGGCATCACGGACACCACGGCAATACGCACGAGCATCAGTTACAATGAATGCTTATCAAGCACCTGCCCACTGGCCCCTGACATCTCACAGCTGGGTCACCTAAAAGCTGCTTCACCCAGACTTGAAAAGCAGCCGCTCAGGTCTGCAGGATGTCAGTGTGTCACTCTGGAAAAGAAAGACGGATTCCAGCTCCAAACCAGTTTTATATATAATTTATATACGGGTGGGCTAAAGTAGGCTTACAGCTGTAAGGAAAATAATACAATAATTAATAAATAATATTACAAGAATAAACTGTTTTGTGAACTCAGAACTGTAAACCTATTTTGCCCACCCTGTATGCAGTCCCTGTAACCTGTACTGTATGTGAAATGACAGGATAAATGAAAACCAATGATTACTGTTAAGTGTGTTGTTCAAGCTACTTATTTGTTGCTACTGAGAGTTTTTTTTACAATCCTGATGACACAATTTAAGAAAGGTTAGAAGCCAGATCGGTTAATTTTCCGGCACTGTAGTGAACACCTACATTTTTTAAAGTATGAAATCCTCAATTCTAGAAAGATTGGCAAATGGAAAAAATGAATTATCATTTCCAAAATTCTCAAGCTTTCTGACTGAATAAAAATTTTTCAGCTGAAGTTTAACATACATAATAGATACAAATGCATGTAAGCATACCGGTGAATATTTCTTCAAAAAGAAAAGTACACCCACGTAATCATCAAATTAGGTCAAGGAACACGACTCCAGGAGTGCCTCTGGGTTCCCCTCCAGTCACCGCTCCCCTGCCAAAGGGTCACCACTGTCCTGACTTCTAACTGCATAAACGAGTGTTGCCATTTTTGAACTTAAAAAGGGGGTCGGGGAGCCATACCATATGTATTCTTTTCTGCCTACTTCTTACACATTATATCTGGATAATACATATATATTGTTGTAATTCATTCACTCCTTTTCCATTTTACAAACATACAGAATTTATATAGCTGCTTCCAGTTTTTGGCTCTGAAGTTCTTTGTTACATGTCTTTCGGTGCACATGAGCATGTACTTTATTGGGTGTATAATGGTCTAGGAGTGGATTTGCTGGGTTAAGGATATAAGTTCAGCTCTAATAGATATTGTCAGTTTTTCAAAGTGGGTGTACTAATTTATACTCAACTGAGCTAGTTGCTCTTAGTATTGCCGTTTTCATTTTTAAAAAAGATTCATTCATTCGTTCTTAGAGAGAGGGGAAGAGAGAAGGAGAGAGGGAAAGAAATATTGATGTGTGAGAGAAACATCGATCGGTTATCTCTTGTAGACAACCAGGGACTGGACCTGCAACCCAGGCATGTGCCCTGACTGGGAATCAAACTGGTGACCTTCTGCTTTGTCAACGCCCAGCCCACTGAACCACACAGGTCAGGGCGCCATTTTCATTTTAACTATTCTGGTGGAAGGTAATGGCATCATATTGTGGTTTTAATATGCTTTCTTCTCTTTAAAACTATGATCCTTTCTTCTTTTCACTTACAGTTTCTTTGAAAACTGGTAACTCCTGGTCAAATAGCAACTATTTTTTGAGTGCATATTATTCGACAAACCCTTAGCTAAGCCTTTTAATAACAATTAATATTTAAATAGTGTTTACTATTTGTCAACACTGGCCTACATATTTTATATATTTTAATTAATGTAATTCATTCAACAGTCCTAACGGTAGGTCTTTTTTTAAAAAAAAAATACTTGAAATAATAGCAGGTACTGTTTTTTCCTCTACTTTTCAGATAAGGAGGCTGAGGAATAGGAAAACTGCCTGAGTAGAACAGGCATTTGAACGCAGGCAGTCTGGCTCCAGGGTACGTGTGCTTAACCACTCACTGTATTATACTGTACTTTAACTGCATTATTTTAAAAAATTCTCACAATAACCTATGAGGCAGATACTATTATTATCCCCAACTGACAGAGGCAGAAACTATGGCACAGAGAGGGCCCGTCAGTTGCCCAACCAAGGCCACATACTAAGCGGCAGAGGAGGAATTCAGGTCCAGGCAGCCCCGCGTGGGCACGCGCTGACCCACCGCCGCTCTCGCGCCGCGCCGCGCTCTCCTCTGTCTCGTTCCGGGGACGCTCATCTGAAGGAGCAACACGGCTCCCGGGTGGAGGCGGGCACGGGGGCAAGGGGTAAGGAAAGCTCTAGGAGAGGTGACATGTGTCCTGTACTTTGAGGGGAGAGGAGCAGGTCAGGCCACAAAGGGGAGGAAAGCAGGAGAGAAGACGACCGGCCAGGCGCCCGACGTCGGCGGAGGAAGCGCGCGGGAGCACTGCCGCCCGGCGCTCGCTCGGAGGGGCTGAAAGGCAGGTCTCCGTGCGGAGTGAACACAGGAGTAGGAAGTGTGCATGGAACGGAACTAAACATTTCCCATTTGACATTCTCACCTTTCCGTTTACCTTCATAGAGACTAATTATTGACACAGACTAATCACCAAAAAAAGTAAAAAAGGTCTTAGGCTCCGCATTTGTGAAAAGTGGAGAGTTAAACTGTTCTGAGAAAAATCTCAGTCAATACAGTATTGGTCTGCTTTGTTTTCTGTTGTTAGCTGCTGCGCAACTTTACCGACTGTATAAACAACCTCCGAAGGTTCTGTTTTTCTCTTCTGTGGTCATTTTCTGACCTAATTTATTCTCGGACAGGGGCTGAAACAGAAGAGGCTGGAGTCGTGGGCTGAGAGCTCACAGCGCGGCCTGGCCGCCGCGGGGCGGGTGCAGCCCGAGGGCGGAAGCGCGCACAGCGGCCGCTGCCTCCGCCGCCGCCGCCTCTGCCCTCCGCCCTCCGCCGCCTCCCCGGGGCCCAGCTCCAGCTCGGCCCGCACTACGGCGCGCCCAGGGCTTTTACACCGAGGGCACACCAGGTTTTTAAGTCTCAGAACCCCATTCTAGAAATGAGGACTAAAAATGTTTTGTTTTGATAAACTCAAATCCTTGTAACTGGGAAATGGGTTAATTTTTCTCACTCCTCTATGGAACATAAAAATATTTTAACTATTTATACGCTGTGAATAAAGGTTCTGTTATAGACTAAAAGAGAACTCTGGGCAATACAAGATGAAGTACCACATTCCAAGTCTCTATCATAAAACCTCACACATAATATGAGATACTAAGGAATCCCCTCATTAATTCAGGAATAATGCTTTGATTCATGAATTATCCGTTTTCTTCAATATTTAATTTTCCTGTTTTCTGGGATGCTGTCATTTCTTATTCTCACCTCTGTAAAGCTAAAGGGAAAAAGAGGAAATTCAATTTAGCACAGTAAATTTGAGAATCTGATTCATGTCGAAAATATCTATTAAACCACCCATTTTAATGAGAGTCTGTTCAGAGAAGTCTAGGCTGAAAACGTCCCCCTGGAATTCTGAAGGCGACTTCCACCTGCCGCCCGGCTAGCAGCGCGGCTGCTGCGAAAGGCGACGGCGCGGGCGTGGCCCCCGCTTCCCGTAGGCGACCCTGCCCTTCTCTCCGGGGCACAGGCTGACTACCCACGCAGGCCCCTGC